CTTCCCATGATAATACCATCATCCACATGAATAGCTAAGTAGAAGCACTCTTCTTTTCTTCTAAATATGCATTGATCTGTCTGTAACTGAAACATTCCTTGATTCTTCAGGAAAGTTGTCAATCTTCTGTTCCACTGGCATGGTGCTTGTCTTAGACCATATAAGGCCTTTGTCAGCTTACATATTTTACCTGGATGATTATACCCTTCTGGGATTCTCATATAAATATCTTCTTTTATTTCTCCATAGAGAAAAGCTGTTTTTACATCAAAACTCTGAACATTTAACTTCTCTTGGGCTGCTATAGCAAACAAAATTCTTAATGAGATTGTATCAACTACAGGACTATAAATATCTTTGTAATCCAACTCTCCTTGTTTTTGTTGACATCCTCTTACTACCAGTCTTGCTTTGTATTTTCCTCCTTCTTTGATTTTAAAAACCCATCTACTTGTCAGAATTTGTTTTCCGGAAGCTTCTTCTTCATTTAAATACTCCCAAGTATTATTTTTCTTCAGGGATTGTTTCTCTTCTTCAATAGCTATGTTCCATTTCTCTTTATCCTTGCTTTTAGTACATTCTTCATATGTGAGCATTACCTCTTCATCTAAAGATGTTGGATTTAGTTGATAATCCTTCAGTTTATTGGGCAGTTTTAGATTTCTTCTTGGTCTGAAATTGTATGTCTGCTCTCTTGGTTCAGGTTCAATCACATTTCTTTCATCTGGTTCTGTATATTCTCTTTCATTTTCTGGTTCTTCTTGTATTTCTTCATTTTCTTGTTCTGAATATATTTCTTCGTTTATGTTTTGTTCTTCATTTATGTCTCTTCATTTTTATTCTCAAATTGAAAAATTTTTAGTTTTAGTTCTTTTTGTGGTTTTACTGGCTCTTTTTCACACACAACATCTCTTGAAACAAATATGTCCTTGGTATTTTGATCCCATAGACGATAGCCATTAATGGAATACCCAATAAATATTCCTTTTCTGCTTCTATTTTCAAGTTTCTTCAGTGGCCCCACAATTTTAGCATAAACTGTGGATCCAAATATTATAAGTCTTTTTAAATCTGGTTTCCTTTTCAACCATTTTTCTGCAGGGGTAGTTTCTGTTGTAGATGTTGGACTTCTGTTAAGAAGGTATGCAGCTGTTAGTACTGCTTCACCCCAAATTTCATTTTCTATATTTGAATCCATGATAAGTGCTCTGGCTTTCTCCATCAAGGTTCTATTCATTCTCTCCGCCTTTCCATTAAGTTGAGGAGAATATGTACTGACCTTTTAATTTCGCCGACAGTAAACTATAACTTAAATTCGGGCACGGAATCCACTGTAAAGTCCTCATAAAACATTTTCTTTACTTTCACTGTGAAAAACTGTCAATTTTCAAGAAATACATTTCGATTTATAGCCTTTATAATCTGTGTTTATAAAATAAAAAATGTGACATTTGACGGTGACACACAGATTCCCCTATTGTTTCATAGATGGCGCTCTATACAAATTTTTGATTTAAATCAATTTAAGATAATAATAAGTATTTGTCGTAGAAAAAGTATAGTATGCACCTCGTTTATAAACTTTTCTATAAACTCATTAATTTAAGCAATCGCTCGCAAGCTCGCTCGTGTCTAAATTAAATTCGTGTATAAAATGGCGTTTATCAAACTTGATACATAATATACTATTATCTACTCCTACGTTGACGAGCTGTGACTTTAGGGCGTTTTAGTTACGGGCAGAAGTTAAAAACAGTGGCTTTCAAGCTTTTTAGTCACGGGATATTATAAATTGGAAAAAAGTGAGGTGACAGTTGACAGATGTCAAATTTTAAACAAATAAAATTGCCTTTAAACTCTGTTTTGTGTTCGTCGTAGATAAAGTAAATTCCTTAACATTTGACAGATGTCAAATTTATAACAAATAAAATTGGCTATAAATTCTTCTTTGTGTTCGTCGGTTTATAAACTTATCTAGACACTTGTTTTTAGTAAACACTCGCTGGCAAGCTTTGCTCGTGCCTAATAAAACTCGTAACTAAAATGTCAGTTATAAAACTACACATTGACAAGCTATGGCTTTATGGCGTTTTGGGATGAAGTTAGTTTAAAGTTATTTGACAAATGTCATACAATCCTTAAAATAAAGTGCCTTTCTTGTGAAATAAAAATGTGGAAATTATTTTATTATCTTAATACAAAAATAAAAAGTATTAATAAATACTTTCTCATTTATTTAGTTTATACATATGCAAGTTTGTCTGACCTTTTGATTTTTCCGACAGTAAACTAGATTTAACAGAAAGCAATAAAAATTTCGGATGGAGACTCCACCGTGAAGTGTCCATGAAATATTCTCTTCACTTTCACTGTGAAAAACTGCTTCTATATCATTATATTAACGGTTATTGTCCATTTTCAAGGGATAAATTTTGATTTACACATAAAAATTTCCAAGTTTAGAAATTGTTACGCCAGTTACTTTATTTTTTATAGATATCGCTCTATACAAATATTAAATTAAAATCATTTTCAGTATTTGTCGTAGAAAAAGTTTAGTATGCAGTAAAATTAGTAAACTAGATTTAACTGAAAGCAATAAAAATTTCGGATGGATACTGCTTCTATATTATATTATTATCTATATTAACGGTCCCACACGGAACAATTACATCCAATGGTTATCCAATGGATTTCTTTTATGGATATCCAGGATATACATAGGATATCCGGGATATCCAATGGATAACCATTGGATATATAAATGTCCGACCCTCCTGGACATAGTGTGGATATCCAGTGGATATAGTATTGTATGCAATAAAGTTGTAATCTGTATTCAATATGGAGATTGTATGGATATCCAATGGATAGGGTATTTAATGCAATATGGTTGTCATCTGTATTGGATATGGTGAATCAATGGATATTTACTTTTCAATAAATAACATTGGGTTTTAAAATAAAAGTCATATTCTTTAATTTAAATATTTATTTTTATGAAAACATAAAAAAGAACAGAAAACTACATATAACTAAAGAAGTGAAGTCTCTGGCTTGCCATCACTCCTCCACCTGTCATTTGCCTTTTTATCAGCCTAATCATTTAGGGCCTATTTCACCTGTCTCCTTATGATCCCCAAAATTTGGCCAATCCATCAGCCCATTTGTTACCCTCGAGCCTATGTATAGCTTACAAATAAAGGTACGGTATATAAATGCATGCATGTATTCACCTTTAATGTTTTACCTTCAATGCTAACCGAAAGTTTATAAATTGCACTTAAATATACCTACCTATTTAATTTAAAATTGTATTAGTTTTAGACCAATACAATTTAAAATGATAAATATGATTAGAAAATTAATAAAATATTCACTTACCACTATAGACCTCAAACAAATAACCACAAAACACAATAACTTGGCAATAAACTTTATGACAAACATATAACAAATAGCAATGATGGCGAATGAACCTTTACAATCTGTGGAATGAAGCAAATAAACATGAAAACCCTTTGCATGTACCTAACAATCATGGCATCATATTTAACGGACGCTACCATAGAAAAAGGACGCTTCTTTATCTTCTGTGTTCTGCGGCAGTGTTGTCAGACGTTTAAATAATTTCAGAAAGCTCATCAAAATGGCGGTTATTATTAAATCTTTAATACTTAATTAATTAGTATACCTATTTAACATAAATGTGGTGAGTAATTATTTTAAATTTATTTAATATATTTATGAAAACTTAATAAAGTACGGAAATATATTTCGTTTAGTTATTTTGCTTCTAACCGGCAACACTGAAGATTCTCAAATTCAGCGCGTGCGTACTACCATGAAATACAATAATAAACAAAAGGGACTTAGGTAATTTTTTATTGTATTGCAGACTGTCATAGTCATATTATTAACAGAAATAATATCTAGGTAAAGTGAACATTTCAAAATTAAAAATTTCGTAGCTCTTGTCAAAAAATCAATTTACCGTAAAGTTGTTTTTTTGACATATGCCAGTTCTCAATTAAACCATCACAAAATCCCACATGTATACATACAAGTATATACAAGATATCCATATCAGTTATCCACTGGATATCCAGTGGATATACATTAGATGTACAGTGGATATACTTTAGACATACATTAGTTATCCATTGGATATATATTAGAGATACTTTGTTGAAATTAGTTTAATAACGATTTAAATCATATTTATTAATCATTACATAAATTTATCCTATAAGGGGCTATTTTAAAAAAGAAAAAAATATTTTTAATGTTTTTGTTTTTTTTGAACATCCAGTATGGATATCCATTGGATATCCAATGGATATCGTAAAAGGCATGGATATTATATCGACATTGGGATAGCCATTGGATATCCATTGGATAGCGTGTTCTGTGTGGGGTTAACCCCACAACAATTGTTGTCCATTTTCAAGGGAAATTTTGATTTATACAAATTTGACATTTCCAAGTTTAAAAATTGTTACTATAGTTACTCTATTTTATTTATAGATATCGCTCTATACAAATAATAAATTTAAATCATTTTCAGATAATATGTATTAGTCGTAAAAAAAGTTTAGTATGCAACTCGTAAAATTTTCTAAACACTCATTCAACCCATTTCCGCCCAGCGTTCTTAAGCACTTGCTCGCAAGAAAAATTACACATAAATGAAAAAGTGCTTTTTAAAAGATAAATTTCTAAATATGTTAATAGAAGTTGTAGATATAATGATATTTAAAAAGTTTCTATTATCCCTGGTGGCCATGTAATCAGAAGTTAATTTGTCAATAAGTTATAACTATCATAGTCATTCAAAATTAAAATCCCCCTTTCCCCTATACCTATTGAAACGAAATCCATCAAATACGTTTCCCCTATTGTATGCACCCGTGTCCCCCTCGCGTCTACGTTCCTGTACGGCCGTCGCCGTTTAATGGGCGACGCATGCGCACCGCAGCGCGCCACTTCTATATACGCTACGCGAAACGCGGCCACACGCCACTACCGCGAGTAAACCAAACCACGTGTGCGACACGATGAAAAAAAATCAGTGAAAATGTGCTAGATACGGACGAAAATGGGCACCGAAGTGAAGGAATCGGTGAAACTGAAGCGGAAAATCACGTTGCTGAACGGGGTTGCCTTGATAGTCGGAACCATAATAGGAAGCGGGATTTTCGTGGCGCCGGCCGGCGTCTACTTGGAGACCCGCTCCGTCGGCTTATCCCTCATCGTTTGGTGTCTGTCGGGGTTGTTTTCCACGTTAGGAGCGCTCTGCTACGCGGAGTTGGGCACCTCCATAACGCGCTCCGGGGGCGACTATGCCTATATTTACGTTGCATTCGGCCCATTGTGCGCTTTTTTGAGGCTCTGGATCGCGATTCTCATCATCCGGCCCACCACACAGGCCATCGTTGCGCTCACTTTCGCAGAATACGCCGCAAAACCGTTTTTCCACGAATGCAAACCACCTGGCAGCGCGGTCCGATTGTTGGCGGCAGTTTGTTTGTGTGAGTTGAATTTTTAACTCGAAATTTTTTTTGTTTTACGCCTGCTTAATATGTAATTTTTTAATTTATAAGTTTAATGTCCACTTATAGGTATTTATGTACATACATTCAAAATTTAAATTATTGTTGAACCGGAAATAACAAATGGAATAGGAATACTTTCAGAAACACTTCCAAATATGGGTCATTATACTATTAAGGCTCTCTGCCATTTGTAAGTTGTCCCTAACATTTTTTATTAAAAAAATAATAAATTGAGACAGCTAATAAGAACTAGATTCATAAATAAGAAGTTAAAATAATAATTAAATTAAAATGTAATGTCTTAATTAAGGTTGAAAGTTAACATCAAATTCTATAACCCCATGTCCCCATCATATTGCAATAGTTTCATAGGTTTTGTATGAAACTGAATTCTAAAACTAAAATGAAAAAATAAATAAGTAGCTCCTTAGCAGTGGCGTAGCTAGCCTCTAGGGGGCCCCGTGTCAAAAATTTGGTAGGGGCCCTTATACAGGAAAAGCTGCTGGCAAAAAAATTTATGGGTGTCACGCCCAAAGTCTATTTTGGACAAACAAAAATTTTTAGGGTATCTTTTTATGCATTTACCAAATTTTTATAATTTAATAAATAATATGTATGTATACATAGCTTTATATGAACAGGCAAATTTTAAAATTTGATCTGGTTTTAGACATTTACCGTTCTTCAACATCTTTTAAAAGGTTTATATTTTAAAATAAAGGCAAGTCAGTTAAAATAATTATAGCGCTTATAATTATGTCTAATTTGCTATTAATATAACCTATGATAATAATACGCAAAGCAGACTCCGTATGCGGCGCATAGCACAGACTGCGCCGCAGACAACGCATAGCGGAAAGGTGCGTGCAGAAACAATTCGTATGAGTTCACGGCCTCGTTGGAACAGGAGGGTATTCAGAAACAAAAAAGTATAAACAATTAAATAATAATATTATTTATTTATTTATTTAATTTTATGCCTCAATTTTTTAAACATGTCAAAGCCAATCGGGCCCCCCCCTAGCCGGGGGCCCACTATCATTGATACGGCTGAAACCGCGGTAGCTACGCCCCTGCTCCTTAGCACTAATAAAGAATATGCTAAAATGTCTGTGAATAATTTTTTAAGCGTGACCAAACCTTGTCCTTATATTTAATGTCTACTTCGTCACAAACCGCCTAAATAAAATACAAATACACTGGTGTTATTTTGCGCGTTACAAACAAGCATCGTGTGTTTTTGAAGGTTATCTTTCATCACGGTATTTACTCGGTAGGTATTTGCAGTATTTATGACATTATAATTTAAAAATAAGAGACTATTTAAGCGAAACTTTACAGCTGAGAGTAACATTGAAAATGTGAAATATTTATTTTTTAGAGGTAGATGGGACTAAAAAGTATAATGATCCATTTAAACTCTTCATAAAAGTTTTTTTTAAGATTTTTAATTTCAGTACTTATAGAATTATATTAAATTTACATTATTTACAAAAATATTTTTTACTATATTACTAAATAAGGTAAGCAAACATTAAAAAACATTTTGTTTAAAAAATAAATAACGCGGATGTCAATTAAAATTTGCTTTTTGGGTGATCAGTTTAAGAAATTTATACTCATCTGTCAACCCTCAAGCTCAGTTGCCTTATTTAAATTGTTTCCATAACAGCATTTAAAAACGCAATAAAAAAAATAAAAACCATTATTGTTTCGATCTTATTCAAATGTTTCGATTATAACACACATTTAATTATAAAATAAAATTCAGTTTTATAAACCTTTTAACACAAAAACTCCTTTATAAATAATAAATATTTATTTTTTAATTCGTTAAGTAAGAAATATTACGTATACGTAATATTTCTTACTTAACGAATTAAAAAATAAATATTTATTATTTTTAAAGGAGTTTTTTGTTAAAAGGTTTATAAAACTGAATTTTATTTTTAATATTTTATATTTAACATTATGTTCTATTTTTTTAAAAACTTAAATTTTATTAACAGCTTTATTTTAAATTATTTACTTACTTAAAAAAATATTTGTGTAAACAATTTAAATTTAAAATATTTCTATACCAAAATTAAAAATCTTAAAAATATTTAACTGATTAATTAAAAAAAAACTTTTATTACGAGTTTATATTTGGAAGTGTTTCTGGTAATATTATAATATATGTAGTTATTTCCGTTTCAACAATAATTTAAATTGTGAATATAAATAGGTACCTATGGGTAGACATTAAACTTATAAATTAAAGTATTACATATTAGGTGACTATAGTTTATAATTATAATAAAAACAATATTCTTAAACAAATTAACGGCGTATCAAAACATCATAACTACCTTTTTTTTAAAATGTCTTTGGACAATTATACATTATAAAACAAATGTTAAAATTTTAAATAATAAAAATTAAATTAAATTTTATAAAACATAACATTTTATAAAAGCAAAAACAAACACAACTCAGCAATAACAGTTTCTAATTTTATACCTAATGGCGTATTTTTGGGTTTGTAAACCATTTTTTTAATATTTATTATAATTTAACAGAAACATAAAATACATATATAATCTCATATTTCCACGAGGTACCAACTTTGAAGTTCCATTTCCGTATTTTTAATTAATCAAAACTTGATATCACAGTCTGTGGTTGATACTTTAATATTTATAAATCACATTGAATATTTTTAAATTAAACTAAATTTAAAAAAATTACTTCGTACATGCTTACCTACTATTTGGTGAAACTTAGGTTTTTTAAATAGGACATAGCTTCCAACCCTATTTTTTTCAAGCTAATTTTATTTAGAGTGAGAGGGATACAATTACATACTGTTTTTTTACTACGTTAGAAACAAAAGTATTTTGGCTTATTGTTGGCTAAATGATAATTATTACATTATCTACCTAGTGTAACATTAGGGTGATGAAAAAATGTACTATTCTTTTTTTTTACTTTTGAAGTAAAAAAAAATAATAGTAGATTTTTTAAAGTACCCTATTATCGGAACCTCGGAAAATTCCGACTAAAATATTTTCATTTACCTATTTATATTTCAAATTAATTATTGAAATGTAATAAAAATAAAACTTATCAATTCTATTCCAAACCATTTAGGTATGTAGGTACTAAAATGTTTGTAAACACGTTTACACGCGTATTTGTTAATTATTTTTAACAAATAATAAATTAATATGTTTATGTATAATTTAACAGGATTGCGTTTCATTTTATTAATAAACCTATCATGAAACACAATACGGTTAAAAATATGTATTGTTATTCAAAATAATCATTCACTGAACAGAAAAATTGCAAAAATATTTGCTTATATTGCAAAAAATATCAACAAAATTCAATAATATAGTTTCTTCACTACACATGGAAAACTTTTTATTATTAATTTTACAAAAAAGTTACTTTGTATAAAAAGTTCTGCTTCCTCAAAAAATAATAGTCTAACTATTAAAACTTAAAATGGCATATACCGGGTGCACCCATGGTCATAAAATAGGAAAATGTATTATTTTAGAGCAAAATAAAATAAAGAAATGTTGCTTAAAATTTAAATTCTTGATATTTAATGAATGACTAATTCAAAGCAACATTTAATTATATTATTTTGCTCTAAAATAAAAAATAAGGGTACTTTTTTCCTGGGCCAATTATACATTTTTCTATTTTATGAATAGTCTAATATTATTTTTTGAGGAAGCAGACTTTCTTTAAAGAGTAATTTATTTTTTGTAAAATTAATAATTAAAAAAAATTTACCTTATGTAGAGAACTTTGTGGACACACTTTATATACATAGTTCAACCAACAAAATCCTTTCTATTCCTTCAATTTACTGTATCTCGAGTAAACCTTATCAAATTATTAAATGCTACATTTACTTTCAATGGAAACTTAACGAACCAAAACATCTTGAGATGCTACAAATGTTGAACTATGGTTTTGATAATTTGTCATTTGTTAATTACTTAATTGGGTATGTAGACTACCATTGAAAATTATTGATTTTTAATTAGGAAGTCACAGTTTAACGTACGTTTCTTGTTTCAGGTCTTTTGACTGCAATCAACTGTTTGAGCGTACGATGGGCAATGAGGATACAAAGCATCTTCACCGCGGCCAAGTTGTTTGCTCTCATTACCATCATTTTAACGGGGCTGTATCAGTTATTAACAGGTAATTGTACTTTGAAGTACAATGATTTATCTTAGGGACTAAATTATAAATAGGTATACACATATATTTAGGGGTTTTCATTTGAACTCTTGGAAGTACCTTTTAAATGCTTAATTCATTTTCTTAAACTAAACATAGCATACTAGATTATGTTCTTGTTACCTTCATTAACCTGAGTAGGCTGTGGAACAACTGTTAGTTACAAACAATGTAATTACGTGAATATACAAATAAACTTTTTCGGTGGCGTAAGTACTATATTTTTCTATACAAAACGATACGCGAATGAGTAAATTACATCCTTTTTTTAATTCTACTGGAGCATTACCAAATACAGCAATTGCAATAGGTTTTTGTTAATTTAATACTTAACCAGTGTTGCCAGCTCTAGCGTCAATGCAAGCACGAATTCTGCATGCTTTCTATTATAATAATTCGTGATTGCATTAACGCTATAGATGGCAACACTTCCAGAGAAATTTACATTTTATGATATTTGTTCAATAACATTATTTTTTTTATAATAAAATTAGTTCAAATAAAGTAATTTTTCAAATCTCTTTTTTAAGTAAAATTCCTAATTACTGGCCGTTTTATTTTTTATTCAGAAATTATTTTTATGTGTTAACACTCGAGTGATATTTTCAATTAGATAAAAAACATCACATAAGAATTTATATATATATATTATTTTTAATTTAATGAATTTAAAATATCTGTTTCTTATATAAAAATATCTTCTATGGTAGGTATTTTTAATACATTTAAATTTCTCCTATAATATTATATATATAACAAAAAAATACAAATATGTATAAGAAAGAGATATTTTAAATTTACTAAATTAAAAACATCAGTTCAAATGGCATAAAAATTAACACTACAGTGATATTTTCAATTAGATAAAAAATATCACATAAGAATTTGTATTCTGCGAATTAATTATATTATTATATTAATATATTAAATTATATTATATATATATACAAAGTGACCCATTTGTTTGCGACTCACCCCTGTAAAATCTTTATTTATTGTGCGATTTTAACCGGATTTGTTTTAAAGAGTAGATCTTGATAAACTGTATTTTCGGAGGAAAAAACGGCATATTTTTACAAAATACAAGGCCTACTATGTAGGCTATTAAGAATTCATATTAGCGATTTTTTTAAACAAAATCTAAGCACGGCACTGGATTCACCACCCCTCAAAACGACCCTATACTAAATTTTATTGAAAAATTGTAATAAGAAAAATGCACAATAATAACTACAAAAATTTATTTTGTCAAGTTATCCATGAAAAAAACATAAAAATAAACTAATATAGGAACATGGTACTATTACCATAAGTTTAATTTTATTTCAATGTTTTTTCATTGACAGAATAACTTTTTGTAGATATTATTTTCTACTTAAAATTTTTCAATTAAATTTAGTAAAGGATCGGTTTAAGGGGTGGTGAATCCAGTGCCGTGCTTAGATTTTGTTTAAAAAATCGATAATATGTGGTCTTAAAAATTTACTCTTAAAAACTGACATAGTAGGCCTTGTATGTTGTAGTAATATGGCGTATTTTTAAAACAAATCCGGTTAAAAGATTTTACAGGGGTGAGTCGCAAACAAATGGGTCACACTGTATATTATATTAATTATATTATTGCAGATATTTTAAAATTGGATTTAATTTTCATGCAAACTGATATTTTTAATTTAATGAATTTAAAATACTTATCTGTTTTAAAAAATTTCTCCTATGATATTTTTAATTTTTGGAAAAAATACAAATATAAGAAATATATATTTTAAATTCACTAAATTAAAAATATCAGTTTGTCATAAAAATTAAATCTAATTTTTAAATACCTATCTGTTATAATATTTTGAATTCGCAGATTAAGCATGTTCATGTGATATTTTTTATTCATACATATACTTTAAAAAATAGATCTAATTTTTATGCCAAACTGATATGTTTAATATATTTAATTTAAAATATTTACATATTTTAATTGTTTTTTGTTACATACTTATTATTAATTCGCTTAATTAAAAATTAGATTTAATTTTTATGCCAAACATATTTTTAATATAGTGAATTGCTTCTTATATTTGTTTTTTTTTAGTTAAAAACATATTTTTAATTCGCTATAGAAAAAATATGATGGGAGAAATTTTTAAATTAATTAAAAATATCAGGGGAGAAATTTTTAATTCGATTTAATTTTTATTTAATAAAAATGCAGATATTTTTAATTGAATGTGATATTTTTAATTCCGACTGATTGAGAGTTTGGATACCCCTGTTATTCCAAACGCCATAAAAACCAACAAACTAACGTGCACTGTCCTTGTTCAACACACGCTGGGTCAGTGCGACATCGGACTCACGTACGTCATAGGTCCCAGTGATTGTGCCGCCACCTAGCGACAGAATTAGTTTGGAATACCAGGGTTGTCCAAACTTTCAATATAAATTAAAAATATCACATTTAATTAAAAATATCTGCTTATTTTATAAAATAAAAATTTAAAATGAATTAAAAATATCTCCTATGATATTTTTAATGTATTTAAAAATTTCTCCTAGGATATTTTTAATTTAGCGAATTAAAAATATGTGTTTAACTAAAAAATACAAATATTAGAAACATATATTTTTAATTCCCTAAATTAAAAATCGGTGTATGATATATTTAATTAGCAAAATAAAAATTATTTTATGATATTTTTTATCTAATTGAAAATATCACATTGCCTGAATAAAAGTACCTGTAACTGTGTCTGGCGTTAAAATATGAACTTGTTTTATGTATGTATTTGGTTCATTACTAAGTGATTATTATTCAATGAATAGCATTCATGGAGATATTAAAGCATTGTTATAAGATTATAACTTTTTCTAATCTTTTTTGCAAATAAAATGGGAATAGAGAATAGTAGTAGTATGCATGGCTTAATTTTCTACATTTATTACAGGTCATACAGAAAACTTCACCAACGCTTTTGAAGGAAATTATGAAGTATCAGCAGTAGCTTTAAGTTTTTACTCTGGGTTGTTCGCTTTTGGAGGATGGAATTTTTTAAATTTCGTTACCGAGGAATTGCAAGATCCTTACAAGTAAGTTTGTATTTAATTTTTCTGCTGGCAACGGTAATTTTTTCTGCACGGATAATAAATAGGTTTCTCAAAGGTTCGACCTCAAAATATGAATTTTTAAAGGTTGCTCACCTTTATAAATTTAAATATTAACATTAAGACTTAATTTTCAATCATATATGATATTAATTAAAAGTAAAATAATGAAAATATAATATAATAATTATAATGAACACCACCAGATCTTGAAAATTAAAAAATGTCTCGAGAACATTAAAATTAATTAACTTAATTTTTTTTAATTTATAAACTTTAAAAATTTGACACTTGACGGTAACACAGTTTCCCCTATTGTTTTAGTACAAGTATTTGTATGTTAAATATATATTAAAATTTAAGATAATAGTATTTGTCGTAGGAAAAGTATAGTATGCAACTCCTTTATAAAATTTTCTAAAATTGCGTTTATCAAACTTGATACTTAATATACTATTTCGTGCATTCAAAGGATTCCTAAATGGTTTTTATTTACCTATTAAAGTACAATACAATTACAACAAGGTTAAAAATAAACCTAAAGGAAAACAAAGCCCCTTGACTCATCGTTCACTTGAAATGAAATTGCGCCTGTGTATGTATCTAACTAGCGTGCTCTTTATAAAGTAAAATGCCGACTTTTGTCTAGGCAAACGGGCATTCGTGGTTCTTTTTTATGTTTAAATGTATGAGGCGTTGATGAATTAAAGAAGAAGCGGAATAAAATGCGTGCTTTGTTCCAGTTTCTCAGAGGGTTTGAATCGGACGTGATTTTAGCTTGATTGAGGTACTTGCCACTGAATCAACAGGATAAATTGACGTTGCGAATGACGCGCTAGCGGAACATTTTCTGCAACAAGTTATCGATAAAACTTGACATAGTTTTTCTTCAGAAGCTTTTATTTTTAAGCAACTAAATAAATTGTAAAAATGTTTCATATTTTTTATGACAAACCTCTTATGAGTTAAGATATTAAATAAATTAATAACTTTAAAGTTATTTGCAATATCAAACAATTTCTCTGGTTTGAATCGGACGTGATTTTAGCTTGATTGAGGTACTTGCCACTGAATCAACAGGATAAATTGACGTTGCGAATGACGCGCTAGCGGAACATTTTCTGCAACAAGTTATCGATAAAACTTGACATAGTTTTTCTTCAGAAGCTTTTATTTTTAAGCAACTAAATAAATTGTAAAAATGTTTCATATTTTTTATGACAAACCTCTTATGAGTTAAGATATTAAATAAATTAATAACTTTAAAGTTATTTGCAATATCAAACAATTTCAGGGCACTCATTAATTTTTATTTTATTAGGTACGAAAAATATAAGGATTTATGCTTCCCACATTTGTCATATTATTTTACCCATTATGTCATAAAATTTTATTATTATTCATTTTTAATGGAAAAAGATCAAATAAGTTTTTATACAGGACTTTCAATTAAAACCTAGCCACCCTTAATAACTTTTGAGTTAGTAAATATGATCTTTAGCAAAAGAAGGTCGATTTAGATATCAACATAATTTTAAAGAAAATGCATTTTCTGAGTCATTGAAGTTAAAAATAATGCGATCACAAATTCGCAAGTCAAAAACAAAGATTTCCATAAAAAAATATATAAAAAATATCATTTTTAAGGAAATGCAATTTCTGAGCCAAAAATAAAATCCGATCAGGAATTCGCAAGTTAGAGCCTAAAACAAATATTTCCATAAAAAATTATATACAAAAAACTGTTTAATTTGCTTCGTTTCAATTTATTTCATATACGTTATAGTTATGGAACTTATCCCAGACCGCAAAACACCATTCCCTGCACATGTCAGGAATATTTCTGGCGTAATCAAATGTCCGCTTTTTCGTTAACCCAGTCATCATACACTGCGCGTCAAAATTAACGCATAACAAGTAAAAAAATTCCAACTCTAAAACGCCTTTACCAATCTTGAAATGAAATTTTGTATAAAAATACTTCAACTTATATCTCACTTTACATGTTCAAGGGTTTTTCGAGAAAATATCCTTAAAGCCCTTTTATTTAATAATAAAAAATGCTCGAAAAAAAATGTCGTGAAAGACCGTATTTTTGTTAGTATACCCTAAAAATTTTGTACAAATCAAACGAAAAGCAAAGAAAATACAGCGCTTCAAAGTCGTCAAAAATGACCACTTTTCAGCAAAATAATAAAAAAGGGATCATTTTTACCGACTTTGAAGCGCTGTACCTTCGTTACTGTTCGTTTGATTTGTACAAAATTTTCAGGGTATACTAACAAAAATACGGTCTTTAACAGCATATTTTTTATTTACTTAAAAAAAAGTTCCCTTAAAGTTATTTTTTGAACGTTTTTTTAATTATTAAATAAAAGAGCTTTACAAATATTTTCTCGAAAAACCCTCGAACACGTAAACTGAGATATAAGTTGAAGTATTTTTATACAAAATTTCATAAAGATTGGTAAAGGCGTTTTAGAGTTAGAATTTTTTTACTTATTATGCGTTAATTTTGACGGGCAGTGTACAAATAATATTTCATGTAGCTGCATGCATAAGACTTTAGTATTGTTAGGAGAATGTCCCTTAATATAATTTGGGACTTACTCGAGTAATCTTAGCCCTTATATGGCCACTTATACCCAGGAACTTAACTTAACTAGCCATTATTAGTTACTAAGTACAGGGCCGTCTCTAAGGTTTTGGCCGCTCCGGGCAAACTTGAAACGGCCGCCCTATCGAAATACACGGCCATAAAAAATACACTACAAATATTTGGAAACATTTAATAAAAAGTAAAAACAAAAATTATAGTAAACTTAAAAACTCAACATAACATAAAAATAAATTAAATATAACAAATTTTGTCCATAAATAAAATATTTTATTTTACATATCGCTACCTTGGTTTAATATGGTACTATCTGCCATTATCTCAAAAATGAAATTTTTGTATAAAAAGGTTCTATGCAAAATATAGAAATTTTTTTATGCAAAAATCACATTTTCGAGAAAATGGCTGATACTATCAGCCTGATAGAACCATGTTAAACCAAGGTAGCGATATATAACTACATACATAGGTACATACGCTAATGTAGCTACCAACAAACTTAAAAAAAAATATTTAATAATTAAGCAAAAGTAAAAAATACAAATTTGGGAAAAACCCAACATAACTTGTTTATAATACGAGTATAGTGGAAAAAATTAAAGGAACAAAAATTTATTCCAAATTTTTATCGATTTTTCAAATGACTATGCCGTATTGAGATTTGAAAAAATCAATTTGAAGCTTTAAGTCTCTAATTTTTGGGCCTTAGGACGAAAAATTTTTATAAGCAACAAGTATCGCGCAATCCTAATTAATATCGCAAAGAAAAATTTATTTTTATTATTTTCTGTGTACGGACTTGCATTATTTTTTTTTAACTAAACCACCATATGGATCGGATAGGTTGTTTATCCAGCTTTAATTTGTTTTTTTTTGTAGGCCTTGATACGACAATTTCTAGCTGAGCTATTGGGCTTTAAATGAAAAAGGATTATTTGAATTTAAATTTAAATTGAATTTTTTTGCAATTTTGTAAAAAAATTCATAACTTTAAATGCCGTTTGGTATAAAAATGTAAAAAAAAGTGGAGATAATTTTGTTTTCATTTTATTAGAGATTATGAGCGTTTGAGAGTAAAAAAACGTGATTTCATTTTTGCAAAAATTCAATTAAATGAAACAAAAAAACGGCTGGATGGATCAAATTGAAACTTGCTAGTGTTTTTGTGGGTATATTGAACTATAAAAGGCACACTTAACATTAGTCGTTTTTTTAATAATCTCAATTCCGCGTGTGATTTTCCCAAAAACCTCCAAACCCCATTTTTTCACGATTTTTAGCGAAACCTTGTAGGGCATTCATTCAAGTTTCTAAAACCGACCTCCAATTTTTTGTGCGACTATTGGTTTCTGAGATATCGATGATTAAAGCAGTGCTGCCAGATGAACGGATTTATCCGTTTTTTACGGATTTTCCAGGTCTAGAGAAATTGGAAACGGATTTTGAACGGATTTTCATCAAATACGGATTTTTACGGATTTTTAAGATAGCTTCATACTAATACTAAAAAAACATCATTTTTGCTCCGTTTTTTTATCATCTTTGTCACGCTTCTATTCCTCTTCCTTTTTACTACGTTAGACAGAAAAATAAAGCGGATTGAAAAAGGATGTGTTCTTAATATAGGGTTCTTAAACGCCGAATATATGCGAAACATATGCTTTTTCATTGAGTGTGACAAAGAGAACGATAGTTTCATATCATTTGTTAAGGTTTTATAACACGTTGTTATTGCTGCCAATATATAAGCGGCGCAATGCCACCAATAGTAACGACTAACCAATACTGACCAGTTCAGTGCATTGAACTGCATTGTGGCAATATTTTGATCTCAAAGTCAATGTTTATTATATATCCGAATCTGTATATAAAATACTTTATTTTGTGAAAAATGGAAAGTGACGAGAATTATATCACTGACGAAGAGGTTCAAACTTCTGAAACTCCCCCGAAAAATTCTGAGATGTTTCGGATTTTCTTTGACGAAAGGTATGTTTTGTCACGAAAATCCCCCATAGAAGAAATTTTTCGAAATTTAGACAAAAACGGATTTTTACGGATTTTTCGAGGCTTCCCCCCACCCTTTCCACGAATATATACGGATTATCCGACCATCTGCTCTGGCAGCACTGGATTAAAGGAAAAATGATCCATTTTTATTCAAAGCCCGATAGCTCAGAGAAAAATTGTCGTATCAAAGCCTACAAAAAAACAAATTAAAGCTAAATAAACAACTTACCCGATCCATATGGTGGTTTAGTTAAAAAAAATAAGTCCGTACGCAGAAAATAAAAAACAAAAACAATGAAAATTTTTTCTTCACGATATTGATTAGGATTGCGCGATAGTTGATGCTTGGAAATTTGTTTTGTTTTAAAATCTAAGAAAACCGCACTTCTATTTAAATACTCGAGTATGATCATTGATCATTATCATTATAAACATACAAAAATTTGTAGGCAAATAAATCATGTAGTGGCAATTTTTGTTTGATTTTTTTAATGGCCACAGAAAAAATAAAGGCCTAAAAAAATGGCTGCCCCCAAAAAAAGGCTGGTCCAAGGACATCCTTAAATGGACATCATTCTAGGATTATCCCATTCTAGGACATAAGGCTGGTGGTCCAAGAGCGTCCTAAGGTCGTTTGTGTTTGCTGGGTTGTAGGGTCTTTATACGACACTCAAAGACATTGATGTGTCTCTTACCACATCTCTGTGGTTTATACCTATTACTAAACACTACAATCTTGTCAGTAGACATAATTCAAATAAAAAATATAACCAAAGAGAAAATTAATTATTGTTTATTGAATATAAGGAACATTTACTGGGAATGTTCCAAGATTTTGCTTGGAAGTTGTAGAGGGTCATTCTATAAAATATTCACTGGGAATGATCTTGGATGGTGTTTGAAAGTTTTAGAGGATTTATGAAATATTCCAAATGAATATTAATAAAATGAAGCGGATTATTCCTAGGCGATAGGGCATATTAATGGAATATTTTCGAACCTTTATTGCAATCTGGGATAACTGTTATTATTGTAGCTACATGGTCTGTTAAATTTGCAAATTGGTGGCATTTTTTCTTCTGATTAAAATGGCGAAAAAATGAGACACCCTGTATTTTAAAAGACAATTTAATTTGGAACAAAACATTATTATTGCATAACTACCCTAAACGTAAAAATAAACAATTACCTAATAAACACTTGAACTTTCTGATTGTTGTTAAAGTAATAATTTAGCGATTTTGTATTTAAAAATAATTTTTCTAAATTTTTTCAGAAATTTACCAAGAGCCATTTGGATCGCCTTACCGCTAGTAACAGCAGTATACGTTTTAGCAAATGTAGCATATTTTGTTGTACTAACTGCGGTGGAAATGGAGAGTTCCCCTGCTGTAGCAATCGTAAGAACCTAAAACACGCTGCACAACAGCGCGGTAACCTGAACGGGAACCTAAACGGTAAAGATGGGAGAGACTCAGCGAACCCTATCTATCAACAGTGATTTTTTCGTCTCTCCCACCTTTAATGTTAAGATTCCCGTTCTCGTTCCTGTTACCGGGCTATTGTGCATCGGGCTTAATTTAATCCAACAAAACCAGTGTTGCTAGATGTTGAATGTAAAATTATCGTACCAACAATGTTTTTAAACGTAGAGTATGGAAAAGGATAAATGAAATATAAAATTTAAGTTGTTTAACATGCAGTTATATTTTTTAAAAGAACAAAATTCATAATTTATTTAGTAATAAAACTAAAAATAATTCTGATAAAATAATAAAGATACAAATATATTCATCTTTAATCTGTCTATAATTTAAAGGTTATTGTTGTCAAGTGATTGATAATGGCCTAGTTACTTAAAAATGATTTATACCAATCACAGCCTAGGCTGTAAAAAATCAATATTTTTACTTTGGACCAATAAAAAAATTCGACTTTCGTCAGATCTATCACTTTCTACTTTTAATAATGGTCAGTTCTACGTATCGTTTAATAAATAAAAAACTTACTTCTTGACATAATGACATAAATAACTGTTAAAACATTTAATAATAATTTAATTTTTTTATTTGTAATTATTTCAAAACTATCGTACAAAAGGCGTACAATAACTAGTAATTATAATTTTTTTACGAAGGTTCAAATTATCGTACTCGTACGATAATTAACCTACATCTGGTAACATTGTTGAATTGTTACAAAACCTAAAGCTCCTTACAATTTTTTTATGTGTAAACATCTGTGCTACGGCCGCGGGAAAATAGTATCACGAGTAAAATGTAAGACATAACGCATAACGTAACACGTTGGCAGTGTTGCCGTTTCTACGGATAAATCTGTAGCAATCCGATTTTAGGCGTGATCTACGGAAGTACTAATTTTTTCGGTATACCGTACCTTCATTTGCAAGCTAACCATAGGGAAAATACATTGTAACTGGACCAGATAAGTCGCAGTCAACACAAAGCGAGAACCTTTTCAGAAATGATTTGGATGCGTCGTCGAGACATGCGTACTAAAACAAATTTTACCAGATTTACACCGCACAAAATAAAAAACAATAATAAAGCATCGATGTATGAAGCAAGGTCAACTGTTACGGCTCATGCTAGCCTACTCGTCCACGCGTCCAAATCATTTCTACAACGTTTTTCGCTTCGTGCTGACTAAGATTATCTGGTCCAGTTACAATGTATTTTCCCTATGGTTAGCTTGCAAATGAAGGTACGGTATACGGTTTTGTATGTGTAAAGTGCGAAAATAATTGTATAATTGAAAACTGCCCTTCCATTTGATTTATTTAAAATCGGGTAATTGAAAACTACAACATTAAAATTCAAAATTAAAAAAATAAAGCAAAAATTCGCATAAATTAAAAAAATGGTAGGACAAACTCGCACAGTGGGATAAATTAAAAAAAAACAGTCAAGATGTTTACACATCCTTTGTGAGTACAATGGCACTAAAATGTTTTTTTTTATTTTAGACATTTGGGTCCAAAATGTATGGATCTAAACTAGACTGGTTTGTGCCAATTTTCGTCGCCCTATCAACGTTTGGCGGCGTAAATGGCATTTTATTTACAAGCGCAAGACTGTTTCTCACTGGATCTCAAGAAGGCCATTTGCCTGAAATATTTTCGTTTATACACATCAAGAAAAACACACCCATACCCAGCTTACTATTCACAGTAAGTATATAATTGCTTGGATTAAATTTCATTTTACATTCTTGAATAATTTTGTACGCATACACTTTATTTTAGTGCTTAACATCACTGGCGATGCTTTTCATAAACGACGTGTTCACTTTAATTAACTACTACGGACAAATTCTGTGGTTCTCCGTTGGCGCCAGCATCGCCGGTATGCTATGGTTAAGGCACTCCCACCCGGACATGCCCAGACCAATCAGAGTCAACACCGCCATACCGATTTTGTTTCTGTGCGCGTGCGCATTCCTCGTTATATCGCCCATACCGAAGGCACCCATGAATACTGTCATCGGTTTATCTATCACGCTTTCAGGTAAGAAATTAGGCCTATGAAGCCGTGATTTAACTCCACGTTAAATCATGGATTACACTTTCTTGTGGGGTTATTGATTGCTTATAAGATATAATTGATGCTCTTACCCAGAGAACCACATCAGGTTCAAACTTGGCCAAGATTTGGAAAAGTTTTGCCAATACAAAATAATATATATAGATAGTATAGGACTTAATTTATATTAGCTATTTTCGCGGAGCTAATCCCGAACTAATTCCGGACTTCCTAGGCATGCGCTTTTTAAAATTTGGAGTTCAAGATGTAAAGTGCGCATGACAAATATTAAAATGCGCATGCCTAGGATGTCCGAACTAGTTCGGGATTAGCAAAAAAACGTATTACTTTAAAGTTAACGACGAAATAACAATCTTCGAAAAGTAAGAAATTGTTCAATAATTGAATTATTTTTAAAAAACTTGAAAACATAAACTTAATTACTTACTCAAAATTTAAAGCTGTTTAAAACTTAACACACGTTTAGTTAGTGCAAGATTTTTTTAAATAACTTTCACACAAGCACTTTTTGAATCATTTTTGTAGAGAAAAATATTGATTTACTTTTTACGCCACGCAACGTATAGAACCCTATTGCGCAAAGTAAACTTATTCTTTTTCCATGTTGATCAATTGTTTGCCAAGTTTTGACTAATGAGCATTACAAACTCTTTGCCAATTTTCGACCAAACTTCATTATAAACGAAGTTGGCCAAAAATAACTACTTGGGTCTTTATTTTCAAGCCGTTTTTGTGCAATCCCGTTGGGAAATTATTGGCATAAAATATGTTAATTTTTGGTCAAACTTGAAGCAATTTATATGTCCAAATAAACCCCAATAAATGTAAAATATCATACACTGAACTTAGTTGGGAAAATTTTTCCCAAACCTTGGTTCTCTGGGCATTGAAAACCATTTATCTGCAAAGTAAACATATGCAATACTTCAAGTTTGGGAGAATATTTTTTCTTGTTTGTATTTTTAGGCATACCGGTATATTATTTGTGTGTAAAATGGAGGAACAAGCCGAAATCGTACAACAGACTAATGTATGGGTTGACGAAATTCCTACAAAGTATTATGTATGTTACATCGCCCGTTCAGGAGGAAATGTTAGCACAATCTTAATTTGTTATAACTATTTATTTATTTATACACCAATATTGACCAATATATGTAGGTATAGTGTAATAAAAGTATTAACCAGTAAACAAAGTATTTAATTTATTGGTAAAAATAACAAACAAAACATTAAACCTTTTTCTTCTTGTTTCTATTTTTGTTTTTGACATTGGTGACTTCGTAGAAATTGCTGCCGATTTTCTTTCTCTTATTTGCCCTCTCCACCGCTCGTTTCTGTTTACTCGTCATCTTCTTTACCGGTTTTTCCCCTTCCTCCACAACCTTCCTCTTCTTCTTCTTCTTCGACAAATCCTCAACAGCCCAATCGCCGCTTGCTGTGGGCGCTGTTGTCACATCTTCATCGTCGCTTCCTTCGTAATCTGAATAAAAGTTGCTGATATCAGAGTCCGAATCCTCTTCGTTATCTTGCGAATTGGAGGTGGTATTCAAAGTGTCATCTGCGTATTCATTCACCGCCTTTTCGAGATTTTCCATTGGTTCCAGTTTTTTGACGTCATCGCCCTCATAGGACAAGCCCACTTTGATCTTTCTGTAGTCCTGAACGACGCTAAGCGGGTTGTCCTTGTCGTCTGTGTTTTGTTTCGGCAACGGTTTCTCATAACCTTCGGGACAAACGAAGAAGGGTAGTTTACCGCGTTGCCAATCGTTCAAAACCATCTTGGCGACACTGGGTATATCCGGTTCTCCCTTTTTCAGCAACTTCCCAGACTTTCTCGCCAATTTCTCCAAGAACTCTATATGATCACTCCAGGAGTCCACTTTGTAGGTTTTAATAAGATATTCTTTCTTAACTCTCTCCAACAATGGAGCTATGTAGTCTTCAGGGTTGTTTACCAACTCCACTCTAACCACACCTTTCAGGACTTTTTCAGTGTCGGTTTCAGCCGACGGGTAGACAACCCCAGGACAATCGATCAAATATATCTTCTTCATGAGTGTGATATACTGCCACACTTTAGTCTCACCCGCAATAGGTGCGACCTTGCAAACTTTTTTACTCCTCAGGGTGTTGATAATCGAGGATTTTCCTGTATTTGGGTACCCAATAAACCCAACCGATATTTGTTTTTTGTCTATGTGCAATTTGGCAAACTGTCTCAGCAAGTTTATCAAACTACCTTTCCCAAAGGGATGAGTAATACTGGCGTGGAACGCCACAGTGGGGTATTCCTTACTGATAATCGCCACCCACCTCTGCGTCACCCAAGTGGGAACCAAATCAACTTTATTTAAAATAAAAATAAGATGTTTGTGGGGGTTTTTCCGTTTTCAAGTACTTTTCTAGATAGGGAGATCTGGTTCCCAGAGGATCCCTAGCATCCAAAACCTGCAAAAGAACATCCGAACTATCCACTACCTTATACAATTCATTCCAGATCCTCCTGGACTGTCCAGCAGCCATAACCCAATCCCTGGGTATGTCCCTAACCCCACCATCGTCCTTAACAATATTAGAATCCTTTTCATTGCTGTATTCTTCCTGATTTTTCTCGGCCATTTGCGAGAACTCCTCCAAGCCTTTAACAGCAAAATTAGGCCTTTTCCTGCTCTTCTTAGGCCCAAAAACACTCTGAAAGCTCTCTGTATCCAATACATGAACCCTGGCGTTTTTGCCCTTCTCATTTAACAATGTTATGGGTAGTTGTGTGGGTTTCATCACCATCTGATAAGGATTCTTTATTGCAGCCCCCAATTCAGTTTGAAACATCTGCAAGGCATTCTGTGATATCACCCTGCTGTTCCCAAACCATTTTTGATTTGGTTCCACTCTAGCCACTGTACCAGAAGCCAACCAACCCTAAAACAACCATTAAAACAATTAGAGTGCGTTCGAAATGAGGGTGTACTTTGGATATGGTATAAGGATAGGTACTTATATAATCACGTGACTTTACATTATACCTAACCACCTTGTTATTTTCGAACGCTGCGGAGCATAAACCTAAAACTTTATGTTGTGGTCTTCTAAAACCAATTGATTTTGATTATTATTTTACTGAATACATATAAATATTAAATTACTGTATGTCAACCCTTTAGTTATATGGTTTATTCAAGTTTTTGTGATATATTTTCGAACGCTGCGGAGCATAAACCTAAAACTTTATGTTGTGGTCTTCTAAAACCAATTGATTTTGATTATTATTTTACTGAATACATATAAATATTAAATTACTGTATGTCAACCCTTTAGTTATATGGTTTATTCAAGTTTTTGTGATATATTTTTTGTTTGTTTCTTAGAGTTGATATTTTTTAAACAATTTATTTTAAATAAATTCTTTATTTTAATGTTTTTTTTTACTTCATTTTAAACAGATATTAATAAATTATATGAATGTAAAAACAAATTATTGTTTAATGTATCCTATATATGGGTGAATCTCACGAAATGTCCCCCGATGGTGTTACCACGTGATATTTAATAAAACTAAATGAGTTTGACACTTTTATTGTGTTTTGATCTTTCATAATTAAGTAGATATTACAGCTCAGGTTCCAGATTTTTAACCGCAATTAATTATTTTTTACAATGTTTTAAAAGTCTAAAACCTATCCTCCGTGACTGTTACTCTTTCTAGGTTAACCTATATGTTTTCAAATATCTGAGGTAGTAAAAGCATACTAAAAATATCAGTTCACTAAGTAAATTAAACACATCCAAAGCAATCGAATCAAATATAAAATATTAATAAAAATTAAAAGAAATAATTTTTATAACTATTTATGTAGGTGTTAAAAAAATTGATTCTATCCTCCGTGAATCTGTTTTGCTTTAAATTTTACGCAACGGATGGCGCTTTAATCATTTTAAATAAGCAAAAACATCTGTTTACGACATATATATATGTATATATAGATGCATGTGATTCCTGAAGGTCAGTTAAAATTTATATGCAGATGAGAGTGTTGCTGTTTTATAATTCAAAAGTTAAGTTCATTAATTTGCTATTTAAAAACTTATCAACCGTGAATTGTAATATCTCAGTAAGTAGATATTTTTTATAAATATTTTATGTATATAGGTACAATTGTATTTTTAAAAAATATTAAGGTGTCAAAAGATACAACAACTTACTTCAAATATACAAAGGGATATTAAAAAAAACATACGAAATCCTAACCTCCGTGAAACTACATATTCCGTGATCTCTAATATTCAAAATGTATAATTTCTTAAAATTCCTGCATTAGTGCAGAATCACTTATGTTATGTTATTGTTAGTGAAACAACCAAAAAAAAAAATAATAATTTTCACTTGGGGGACATCTCAATATATTCACCCATATAGGGTAAAGCTTAACCAAGTCTAAAGCTTGGGAGTCCACGTTACTCGGGGATTTTTGTCCCGCCCGTCACAATTAAAAATTGTTATAAAATTTATTTTAAAATATTGTTTATTAAGCTTTTAATAAGTTATAAGCACAATAAAAATAATATTATAAAATATTAATTTAAAAACTTTACTCACAATTTTTAATTGTGACGGGCGCACAGTGGGCTAGATAGCCAATTTAACGCGAAGAAATTATTTGGTTAAGTAATTCTTAGTTAATGTTAATTTTTTTGGTCTTATTGATAAAATTTCAATAAAAATTACTTTTTACTACCAATAGAAAAACAAATCGACAATATAATACTTTAACAAAAGTATATTTGTGTGAAGGCAAAATTAAGATCTAGTTTTAATGAGTAAATTACAAAAATGTTCAGTTACATTTTTGTAATTTATATAAAAATAAAACCTAATTGTTACGTATGACAGTATTTTATACAATAATATTACTTCTGGGCTTTCAGCGTTTTTCTATATTTTTTAAAAAAAATTAAATTTTTAAATTAAGTTTTTTCCGAGATCCATTTACTTTTGTAAATGCATAGTCTACTAAGTAATTTAAAAGCAACTTTCTATTAAAATGCTTCAAACAAAAAATATTTGTGGCGCCTACTAGCTCTTGATTTTAGATTTATTTAAAAGAATTTAAAAGCTATTAAAAACACTTAACAGAGAGTGTGAGAATGCGTGACATTTTTTAAAACCTTAGTATTGTTCATACATACATAAAAAATATGCAGCGCTTTCTTTATTGAGGTAGGGACAGTACAATAATTATAAAAACTTACCATTATTTGTTTCAGTCATAACGTATGGCAGTATTGAATACAATGATGGTCAAAAATTAAAAATAAATTAGGAATTAACATTGTAAGAGAAGCAAAACCTTCACGCGCAATTTACCAACACAAAGCAAGTAATTATAATTCTTAAATTTTGACTGGTTACCTGATAAAAATTCAACAGATTTGAAAGTGATATAACATTATTTGATTTGCTACAGATATTAAAAAATTCAAAATTCACTAAATTTTGTCGAAATAAAACACTTACTCATTTTAAATTTTCGCGCGCTGGAAGCGCTCTCTAGCCTACCGCGGTGGTGGCAAAAAGTATTAATATTCACTAATAGTTATCAGTAATTAATTTAAAATTATTAATTGTTATTAGTAGCTTTTTAATTGATGGTTTCCATCACCAATGTATGACAATATTTAATACAATGATATTTCTTCTGGGCTTCCAGCGTTTTTCTATATTAAAAAAAAAATTGAATAATTTTTTTTTCAAGATACATCTATTTTTGAAAATGGGTAGTCTACTAAGTAATTTAAAACTAATTTTATATTGAAATGCTTCAAACTAAAACACTTTTCACAAAGCTCCGTATGAGTTAGGGATAATGTATTAACTGAAAAAAATAAACAAACCATATTTGTTGCGCCTAGTAGCACTTGATTTAAGATTTATTTGAAAGACAGAACGGTAAGCTATTAAAAAAACCTAAACAGGCTTTGTTATCTATGCTAAACACAAAGTGTGACAGTGAGTGACATTTTTTAAAACCTTAATAATGTCCATACATACATTAAAAGTATGCAGCGGTTACTTTATTAAGGTAGTGACAGTACAATAATAATAAAAACTAACCATTATTCGTTCCAGCCATAACGTATGACAATATTTAATACAATTATAGTCAAAAAGTAAGAATAAATTAATAATAAACATTGTAAGAGAAGCAATACCTTTACGCGCAATTTATCAACAGGAAGCAAGTAAGTATAATTCCTAAACTTTGAATGGTTACCTGATAAAAATTCAACAGATTTGAAGGTAATTTAAAGATGTTTCATTATCTACAGAGATTAAAGAATTCAAAATTCCCTTAATTTGATCGAAATAAAACACTTACTTATTTAGAATTTCTTCGCGCTAGAAGCGCGCTCTAGCCTACTGTGGGGCGGGACAAAAATTACCGAGTAACGTGGAATGCCCCTTGGACAACCGAGAGTGTACTCTGGGCATATACTTGCTCTTTTCGAACAGTTGACAGTTGTATATATCTATAGATACCTATAGGTATCTATATACCAGAAAAATCGAACGGGCAAGGTGTAATAGTAGAGGATCCCAAGTAAGGTCGACCTTCACCCATCTGCTTACCAGATGAAAATTATATTTTATCAAATAAAATATGTTTCTGAACATAAACCAATAGGGTTGCCATAAAAAATATGATCAAGGCTAGCTATAATAAATAAAAAATTAAAAAAAAATAATTAATTTTTTAAATTTCACCGACTTGCTTGCCAAATGAACGAAATTCCAATGGAAAGCATACAACATACAGAATATGTAACAGCTAGGTTGCCTACCTTTTTCTGGTCCCTATTACCTGGTTGCTTTGTACAGGGTGATCCCCTATAATGTCGCCCCCCTTTAACTTTTTTATTTTAAGTGTCCCAAAAAATTTAAAAGTTTGGTTATGTAGGTACTAAAAAATACTTTTTTTTCTACGTATAAAGAAAATTGGAAAATTGATCAGTATACAGGGAAAAACAAAAAGTTTATTTTTTTTCAATGGATCACCGTATATATGAATTTATTTTTCGATTCCTTGTAAAATTCTGAGCATAATTTATATAACAAACCATATACCTAAATTCAACCGTTTCTGAAATATTCGCATTCGAAATGTCATCATTAAATGTTTTTTTAAACTGTTAGAAATCAAGAAGCCTCAGTATACCAAAATTTGTATTGAAAATAAATTACTATAGTGACATTATGTCAATAAGTGTTGTTAAATAAGTAAAAATGGCGTACTCAGACAGAGAAAAACAAACTATTTCAACTTATTATCTTAAAAATAATTTAAATATTTCAGAAACGGTTGAATTTAGGTATATGGTATGATATATGAAATATGCTTAGAATTTTACAAGGAATCGAAAAATAAATTCATATATAGGGTGATCCATTGAAAAAAATAAACTTTTTGTTTTCCCTGTATACTTATCAATTTTCCAATTTTCTTTATACGTAGAAAAAAAGTATTTTTTAGTTCCTACATAACCACACTTTTAAATTTTTTGGGACACTTAAAATAAAAAAGTTAAAGGGGGGCGACATTATAGGGGATCACCCTGTACAAAGCAACCAGGTAATAGGGACCAGAAAAAGGTAGGCAACCTAGCTGTTACATATTATGTATGTTGTATGCTTTCCATTGGAATTTCGTTCATTTGGCAAGCAAGTCGGTGAAATTTAAAAAATTAATTATTTTTTTTTAATTTTTTATTTATTATAGCTAGCCTTGATCATATTTTTTATGGCAACCCTATTGGTTTATGTTCAGAAACATATTTTATTTGATAAAATATAATTTTCATCTGGTAAGCAGATGGGTGAAGGTCGACCTTACTTGGGATCTTAGACTATAAAGTGTATCCAGAGAGCACTTTTGCGAGTTTTCGAACACGCTCTTAAACTAGGCAGTCTACTGCGCCGCCGCGGCGTGGTTTTAAAAATTGTATGGCAATTATATTGCAGCGTGGTTTTAAAAATTGTATGGCAATTTGTTGTTTGTAAGTGTACAGAGGTTATGTTATGTATTTTATATGGTTATTTTCATGGTAGGTACAAGAAAACTTTTACGTTGATACAACACGTCTTTAATATTTATATTAAGGTTAGTTTTTAACTTTTTGCCAATTAAAAAGCACCACCTTCAAGAATCCCACAATAAATGAAAACATGTTTGTATTTGGTGGTGTAGCACACCTGTTAAAATTGGTTTGTAACAATTTTCTTGATTATGGATTCATGATTGATGGAAAAGAAATAAACAAGTATATAGTTGAAGAAATTTTAAATGCAACCAGCTAATTGGATTTGTAAATATGCTATGGAAACCGCTGCAGTTTTTTTCATACACAATTTCAAAGGCAATATCTAAATGTGGTCCACATTAGGCCAAATTTTTTAAGTTGGGAAGTCTTATTTGTATTTCTAAATTTATAAGGCATTTTACTGATTATTAATTTTAGGTAAACAATGGGTTTGATCTCATGAATGTCAGAGCATCAATTGGTGAAATGTGCGAAATAAGAGATGAAAGTATTTTTTTTACTCCAGAAAGTATTTTTAAATAAAATCTTTAAATAAGGAATGACAACAATCTTTTTTCTTTAAAAAACAAATTATTGATTAAATAATGGGTCTAAGCCCAATCCACACAACAAGGTCTGTTCTTAGAACAGACCTTGTTGTGTGGACAGTTTGATGACAGCCCTGATAGAATAAGGTTTATTTTTACAAAAGAGGAATAAAATGGTTGCCCTTAGCACTTTAAGGACTCTTTTAAGGCTTACAAGTCCCTCTGTTAGAAACACAACGTTAAAACGATTATTAATCTGTTAAAACAGCATAAACCCAAAGCACAAGAATTGTAAACAACAAAAATGGCCGCCGTTAAACTTTGCAGTATTGCAGTGATTTTTAGTATTTTTAGTATGAGATAGACTATCTATCAAAGTTTAACGGCGGCCATTTTTGTTGTTTACAATTCTTGTGCTTTGGGTTTATGCTGTTTTAACAGATTAATAATCGTTTTAACGTTGTGTTTCTAACAGAGGGACTTGTAAGCCTTAAAAGAGTCCTTAAAGTGCTAAGGGCAACCATTTTATTCCTCTTTTGTAAAAATAAACCTTATTCTATCAGGGCTGTCATCAAACTGTCAAATGTCAATTTTAAGGTTAATTTCCCATAGCCCACAAATTAACCTTAAAATTGACATTTCACAGTTTGATGACAGCCCAAAACAAACCATACCTACATTTTTTAAATAAATATCAACAAATTTGTTACTGGGGTTTTCATACTCAAAATTTAGTTTAATTTATAATAAATAGTGTGCCAAGAGAAAAATATAAAAAACTATAATTGAAAATTGGGTTTCAAATCTTGTATTGATTAAAGTTTTTTTGGATTATTAACCACCGTGTTCACAAGTAGTGGAGTAACCTCTTCAATTTCTTTAGGAAACTCTGTAATAGAACAAAATAAAGAACAACCAAGACATGCCAACAATATAACCTAAAATGGGACAGCAAAATGCTTATCGGTACAAGATTGCCTGGACTGTAAACTCTAGTTCCTTGAGTACACCATAGGCGGCGGCGGTGCAGAAATAAAATTTAAAAAACGACGGCGCAGTAGACACTTTGCTTAAAATAAACCAAAACTTACTTGAAATGGGGCAGGCGTTAGAATCTTTCCAGTTTTGTCTCGCTTTGCCTTAAAGTTCCTGTACATCTGCAACCTCTTGATTGTGCCTCTAGTACGTACTTTCGCGACCCCCTTCAGACCTTCCGTAGGCCTCTCGGGGTTCATGGAGTGTTTGGACCTGTTGAAGCTCTGTTTCCGGGGAGCGCCCCCCGTAGTTCGCACTTTCGGCATCTAAAATATATTTTTTGTAGGCATAATTATTAAATATTGATTGTTAAAACGTACCTTGTTTTTTTGTTACGTGTTAATCCCTATAGAATGTATAAAACGCACTTTTATAAACACATGTGACGACAGGTTATGTTGACATTTTAAGGTTATGTTTTGTTATCTCTGGTTATGTTTTAAAAGAGCGTCAAAAGTTTTGTGTTAAAGTAACATATATATAATCATGTAAATCCAGTTTTAGCCCTTTTACATTGCTTCTTATGATATTATATATGTACTTGCCCAATTAAAATAAAGAATGTTTTGTTATTTAAAATTAATCAATAAAATTAATAAACATTTTGAGAGCCACTGAAGTTTCTTCATGTTGGCAGCCTTGTATATCTAAACACGATCCCAACGTTGCCCAATCATTTATCGACGATGAGGTTTTTGACGCGAAGGCATGCTTTGGATTTATTCTTAAAAAATGCGAACAATATCCTTAAAATTGGCAAGAATTTTACATTAAATTGAGTGTAACTCCCATTGGGACATATTAATATTCTGCCTAATCATGAAACTTATCTGGCAACGCAGTGTAGTGCCAACAAAAAAATGAGCGGTAAAATTTATGAAAAAACGAGAAATAAAAAATTCTTATCATTAACTCAACGCAATAATTTAATCAGCTTTTAACGTTAATTCTTATAGTTTATGTGTCTAGTTTAATATTTGTACTCGTTAGACAGGTGGTTGTTTCTAACCTAACATTTTGGAAAAAATGAATTTTTACTACTACAGTATGTGTCATGTGTGTAAAATAAAAAACGACAGTTTGAAACGATGCTCCTCGTGCAAAACGCTGAGTTATTGTTCGATAGAACACCAGGAACAGGACTGGAACGATCACAAGGATATCTGTAAGGCCCTCACGAAATTTCACAGCATGAACGTTAACAATGTGATAGAAAGTCTGGACGAATTGGAGGCCTACAAGTGCAATGTTCAGTTGTTTTTGTTGGGTAAGATAAAGAGACACTTGGAACCGTTTGAAGCACAGATTTGCATGTTCCCACGAGTGTGCAACTTATGTTACTCGATGGAGAACTTAATCACTTGCCCAAAGTGCGAAAATGTGTCGTACTGCAGCGAAAAACATAAAGTAGAGGATACAAGACATGGGCAGTACTGTAAGTCACTTAAGTTGTGCATGGAGATAGATTTACATGTGTATTTTAACGGGCTACCTCACTTAGACCAATTCAATGTACCTCACTGTCTTACTTATCAGGAGACTGTCCATTCTTACATGGCATTACTAGGGTTTGAGAATAAATTTAAAAAGAAAGATGATGAAATCCGTTATATTCTAAGCGCTGATTATCTGGTACCTGCATTAAATATTATTAGTACTCTTAATAAAACCAACAAAATGGACATAGAAGACTTGGTTATACACTTTGTTGGGTCTGAAAACTATGAGCTTTGCATAGACTGGTTTTTTACATTTGAATTCTTGTTTCATTGGCTTAACAATGTAGCAAGCATTAAAATTTACCTAATTGGGCCTGAATTAAACAATGAAAAAAACTTGGAAGACCTTGGTCGGTTTTTATGTGGTAAATGCAAAGAAAAGAAAAAACAGGCGTTTTTGTTCAATCATAAAAACATGTACCATGAAGTTTTAGAAAAAATCGACAAACCAAACTTAGTTGTAGCTTTTAACAGTGGTCTGCACGAGTTTGAAAACTCAAGCAAGGATACTTGGAGGTCGAGTATTTTAAGCTTGGTTCATTGCAGTGAAGTACCTTTACTGCTGACTGCTTATACTTCAGAGGAGATAGAAAAAGATGTTAAAAGACTAACTGAAATTGAAAGCAATGTTGAAACTATATTTAGTGGCAAAAACACATTTTCAAGTATTAGGCCGTTAAGAAATTCCAGTCATGAAGGAGGGCCTGTGTTTTATGTGCACAGTCATTCAGCTATTTTAAAGAAAAAAGGTAAGTCCATTCAAATAATTTTGTGATTTACAATACTTAATCAAGTTTAATATGTTCATTTTATATTAAATCAAATTAATTTTAGAAAGGTATTAGGTGTACCTAATAAACAATTTTTTTTGTGATTTTACAAAATTTACCCTATTTTTTCGATTTTGAAACTGATTTATAGGCTGTAATACAGTATTAATAATAATTGTTATTAAGTGATTTCATTGTCAACTGGTTGGCGAGAAATTATAGTTTTCCTCATAGTAATTATTTATTACAATGTTTCAAGTACCTATGCCTACTTTATGTGACATTACAAGGCAACGCAGCGTTGAAAATTTAAATAGGATCATAAAATACACACAATTTATAAGAGTTATTTTTATAGAAAAAACATGCGTGTTAATTAATTACAAGAACAAAAATTCCAAGTATTTGAATTGAACTGTAGGGTAAATAAAACCGAATTTGTATTATTTCTTTAAAAAAATCAAAACTTGTTTTAATTTAATTTTGAAAATTTATTAGTAAATATACTAATTTTGTAACTAAGATCTAAAACTTTGTAACCAAGTTTTTAAACTTAAATGATTAATATCGCAAAAATGATTTAGTAATTTTTCTTACTTACAAAATTGCAGGGTTGTTATGATTTAAATCGATTGATTTTTTTTTATTTAAATCTTGATTTAAATCAAACATTTTACAAATTAATGATATTTAGTGGATAAAATACTATACCTTTCTAATAAAATCTAAATATATATGTATATATATATACAGGGTGTTTCACATTTGTGGTCCATTAGAAGTTTCTAGGGAACGGAAAAATATATCGTTTTGAAATTTTAAAAGCGTTTATAATCCATTTAGGTCTATTTTTCTAAAATATTTTGAACAAAATGTCACTTCCGGTTTAACTCGAAGTCACATCAACTTCTTGGTACAAAATAGTATATAAAACTTTTGAAATTGTTAAATGTCTCAGAAATTATTAACTTTGGGTGTAGGGAATAGTAACAAAAGGTTTTTTAATTTATTATTTGATTATGTAAAAACATACCGGGTGTTTCATTTAAAATAAAAAAGTTAGTAACCCTTCAAGCCAAATTTGCCCTGGGTTTCTCAAGTAATTTGTTGAAAAATGTTAAAGAATCGACATGGAATCTTTTAAACAATGTTTTAAAATTCCACCGCCATATCCGCAAACCTTATTATTATTATTATTATTAAAAGTTATTGGCTATTTATTACTGACGCGCATTTGTCAAATTTTAACGAACAAAATTAATAATTCGAAAACTATTCACTTTAGGTATGGGACATGGTATAGTAATTTTACTCAAAATTTTATACAGAATTTAAAAATGTAAAAATATATGGGGTGTTCTATTTAAAAAACAAAGTTCATGTCACTTTCGGTTAAACCGGAAATGGCATTTTGTTTAAATTTTTTTAGAAAACTTAAAGACTTATATGCTTTTAAAATTTCAAATCGATATATTTTTTCGTTCCCTAGAAACTTCTAATGGACCACGAATGTGAAACACCCTGTATATATATAATATATTAGGTATCTTTTATGTAATTTTTAATTAAATATCCATATTTTTACCAGTTTGTAAATGATTTCTCGATATTTATCAAGATATTTTTAAAAATATTATTTTTGGGATTAGGTACTACATTTGTTGTACCGGGTGTCTATAAAAAGTCTTTATAGAAACCTACACACAGAAGTTCTCATTTACCTACAAAAAGGTGCTCTTAATAAAACTAGATTACCCTCATGGTTTTTGAGAATTTTTATTTTAATAATTCGCGGAACATCCGCATCATCATAAGTTATGATTCATAACATCTGCATCCGCAACCTTTTAATGCGGATTTTACTTTGCAAACTCCAGTTAACCGCGTGTATTTGTCACTCGTAATCCACATCCGCAGATGTTGTCATTAAAATGCTCCGCATCTGCAGATGTCACAGAAATGATTTCTAATTTGTACCAAGGTAATTTTACTTAAACCACTTTATTTTGATCTAAAAAATATGTGGTTTACAATTCTTCAGTATATTGTGTAATAATATAAAAGTTTAAAAATTGATTGTGTATTTTTTTATTCAATTTGCATAAAATCTGGGAAAGGTGTCTTATAATACTAATTTCAAAACCAATGATTTCTATTGATCCCATTTAATTTATGAAAATTTTCCAAAAAAAATAAACTGAATAATTTTTGACCTGGAAATTTTTTTATTATTATTTAAATTATAGGCTTTTCTTTAATACAAATCACTTAATAAAAAATTAATTTTATAATTATCCGGTAATTGTATTCGAACACAACCTTGGTTTTTATAAATTCAATGCTTCACAATAGCGGTAAATATCTTATTATTTTACTCATTGAAATGAAGATTTTTTTGCACCGGAAACGCAAAAATATAATTTAAATAAATTAAGATCAAGATAAAGATCATATCGTTTTTTTTCTTAAAAGTTGCCTAAAGCACAATTACAAAAAAATTGTTTTTAAAGCTAAATTAGAAAACAAATATAATACAATAATTCCCTTGGCTCAGTCAATCTATCAAAAAACCAGGGCTGGATTTTGTATAAAATGTCAAATTTGGTAGTTTTTCCCACTTTAAAAGTTTTGAATCGTAATATCTTCCTATTGGTCGAACAAAAAAATGAAAAATTAAATTTTCATGCAAATGCATTTTTATTCTTGTTCAGAATGCGGTCTTTGAACATTGCCATAAAAATAAACAATAATAAAAAATTACCTATGTTAGATTGAAAACGAAATTCGCCTTGACATAATATTAGTCCTTTACTGCAATCCTTTCACAACCCAGCCCAATTAATCAAACACTTCAAATTTATTCAAATACAAAAATACATGCAAATATTAGCTTTTTGGGGGATTTTGCGAAGTTTTTAATGGATTCGAAGTGTTTTTATAGTCACGGGTGGTGCGTGACGTAACGAGTGACCCCTTCCACAGACACGAAAAGAAAAGTAAAGTAAATTCACGCACTTGCTATTCTTTCAGCCAGTCTGTAGTGAACTTCGGTATCAAGAAATATCAAGTTAGTCAGGTGAGACAAATCTATTTTATTAGGATAAAAATTAAACAATGGATATTGTATCGTTTTTGAAAAAAAATATTGATTTGTTATTTATAGTCACGAATCTTGTTTAATAAAAACGAGAAAGTTTATAAACGAGTTGCAAACTATACTTAATCTACGACGAAAACAAAGGAGAATGTAAAGCTAATTTTATTTGAAAATTTGACATCCGACAACTTTCAGACAAATTTAACCTCACTTTTTACCAATTTAAACTAATCTAAACTTCATCTGGGACTAAAAGCCCTAAAGTCAAAGGTTGTCAATGTGGGAGTAGATAGTAGTATATTATGTATCAAGTTTTATAAACGCCATTTTAGTTACGAGTTGTATAAGGCACGAGCGAAGCTTGCGAGCGAGTGTCTAGAGAAGTTTATAAAACGAGTTGCATACTATCTATACTTTATCTACGACTAACTCAAGGAAGAATTTAAAGCCACTTTTATTTGACATTTGACATCTGTCAAATGTCAAGGGATTTAACCTCACTTTTCCCAATTTATAATAAAGCTCACTTCAGCCCGTGACTAAAATACCCAAAAGCCACTATTGCTAACTTAAGCCCGTGACTAAAACGCCAGTCACAGCTCGTCAATGTAGGAGTAGATAATAGTATATTATGTATTTTAGTTACGAGTTTTATTAGGCACGAGCGAAGCTTGCGAGCGAGTGTTTAATAAAAACGAGTGTCTAGACTACTACTATACTTTATCTACGACGACCACAAAGAATAATTAAAAGCCAATTTTATTTGTTATACATTTGACATTTGTCAAATGTCAACGGATTTAACCTCAATAATATTCCCCAATTTTTAATATAGCTCACTTCAGCCCGTGACTAAAATACACAAAAGCCACAATTGCTAACTTCAGTGACTAAAACGCCATGAAGTCACAGCTCGTCAAAGTAGGATTAGGTAAAATTAGTTTTTATTGCATATTTAGTGTTTTTTTTTTAATTTTTAAATGTATATATGTAGGTATTAATTTTGGAAATAAACTAATGGCCAAGATTACAATATGAAATATTTTTTTTAATATGAAATAATTTGTAAAAAACACACCTTAAATATTTATAAATGTTATAATAAATTGTAGAAATATTGCTTTGTCATTTCATAAGATTGAAAGGGTAAAGGGTACTGAAATCGACGCTGATTTATTGCGTTTAATTATTATACAATATGTAAAACGAAAATGCAAATAAGGAACTTTTATTAAAGGCGTTTCTTTTTATTTATCTTAAAATATATAAATTTTGCCGCAGGCCCACATACAAAACGTGTATGTATCTATTATGTCACGGTGTCAACGTATTCAATAAATTTAAGAGCCGGTTGACCTTAAAAATATTGCACAAATCAGTTAATACTAGTTTTATTACTACATGTTACAGTATTGATTGACCCTTTATTACGGGGTATTATTAAAATATATTTATTTATAAGAATGATCAAAATTTTTTGGGGTTTAATCCGCCATTTTAAAAAAATATTTTTTTAAATATTTTTATTTTATAATTTAATATTGTTTGTCAAATTTTATCAAAAATTTGTCTTTTTAAAAAAGTCTATTTGTTATGATATAAAATCCCAATTATAGAAAACTTAAAAAATTAACCAATAAATTACCAAAATATGCAACAAAAATTAGGTGTCTTTGACCATGATACAACCAAGTTGGTTGAACCAACATGTCTACGACCACGCCGCGTCGTCTCCTACAACTATAAAAGTGGCATGCCGCGTTGCTATAATATAATTTAATATAATATTATTATAAAAACTTATTAATAAGGTTTAATAATTAGGTTAGGGCTTACTATAAAATCTTAAAATGCATAAATGTATATGATCTACTGGATACTATACCTGGCTCTCACTTGTGGAGGCTCGGGTTTGATTCCCGGTAGCGGAATGTTTTTGAAATTTTCACACTCAAAAATGTTTTTTTATTGTGTGGTATTATACTATTTATAAACCCCTAATAATAAGTTTGGTACAATATAAAAACGAGGCGTGCCAATAATTTTGGTTATATAAAATTAATAAATCATAAACTGTCAATTTTTTTAATGCAAATATGTAACTCAAAATCGTTTGAATTACCCTTTTATTCTAAGACCTATTTGTTTTTAAAAATTTTTGTTATGAATTTGTTATTTTCTCATTTTAATAACCCAATATACTAAAATTTCTTCCTTTGTATTTATTTTTTCATTTAAAAGGATTTTTGTTGATTTTTATTAGTTACTTTTTAATTTTTTTTGTTTTCTAAATTTCTAAAAATGCATTTTTTTTCTAAAATTTTTTGTTTTTATTAAAGCATTTGTAGTCTTTTTGAGTTGAAATTAGGGATGCACCGGAATTCCGGCTGGTACCACTAAATCCGGCCGATCGCTTTCCAGATATATTTTGTAATTGGTCAACAGTAAAGGGTGTGTGTGTTTCCTTGCCTATGATAGACCGGCGGCTGTGGTTCCCCGACTTCTTTTTAATTTTTTTTTATTATTGGCAGGTGGCTGCTATTCTCCAATTGAATGAGTAGAATTGTTTTAATTTTGTTAACGCTAATTAAAAATTAATATTTAAATAAACAGTAATTTCTATCTAGGTAAAATTAATAGTAATAAATACTCTGAATACTGTGGCTAGTTTAAAAAAAAGTACAAATAAATCAGCCTCAATATTTTCAGGCATGCACATACATTTTAAATTTAGGTCTCGGTTCGGCCGGTGACCGAAATTCCGGTTCCGGCCGGATCGGCAAAATACCTGATCCGGTGCATCCCTAGTTGAAATTATAAATAAAATTGTTCGTTTTTGGCTTAAAGTTGATTTTTGCATTCATTTGTTTATTTAAATTAAATTATGTATTGCACGAGGGGTAAACCGCTAAGTAAAAAGCTGTACACCATTTCCCATTTTCATTGTAGTACCCAGTATTTCCTGAGTAATACAATAAAATTACCCGGGATTACCTTGCATTACCCATGTAATACCAGTATTACCTGGCCATTACCTGCAAAATACTAGTACTACCCAAGTATTTCCCGTATTTCCCCTTAATTTTTATTTATTTTTAAAAATTTCCCTTGTAAAAAATTCTTAGAATAGCCTAAAGTTTCAAGATTTAATAAAATTTCCACATGTCCAATTATTGTAATTACCATAGTTTTTATACCCATGTATTACATGACGTAGTTTTTCGAAATTTTTGACCCCCCCCCTTCCCCTTGTTATGAAGCTAGAGATGGATTTTGATAAAAATAGGAGGTAAAAAAGTAAAGTAAATGCAAAGGCTAAAAGAAAACCATGGAAAAAAAGATTTTATTCAAAAACATGAAAAATTGTCAAAAAAATTAATTTATAGTATTTTTATTGTTTTATATTTATTTGAAGCACATCAGATCGTTTTAATTGAAATGGACCATTTCCCAACAATTGCACGGGCCCAAAGAAAAAATACATTTTATTTATTATATTTACATCATCTGGCCGTGGCCAAACATAATGGTCCAATTCAGTCTTTAAGAACATCATTTTAAAATTATCATTGTCGCATTTTTCGATTATGCGGCCAAGATACCATTTTTCATCACAGAACAGAGCAAAGTAGCTTTCTAAATTAACTTTCAGGGTTTCGACCTTAGAAATTTTTGGTTGAGGTTCCGAATCTGAACCCCATTCAGAACTAAATTTTTCAGTGTCGGTTCAGTCATCCAATTCGACCTGCTCATCATCAGTAGTAGATGTTGAGGACGAGACTTGATCTGTTTTTCTGTTCTTTTATTTAAAATTCTTTTGGATGATTTCTTCTTTTCTGTTCTTTTCGAGATTTTTTTATTTTCACTTTTTCTTACAATAAATCTTTTTAAACGGTCTGTGCTCACCTTGCCGTTATTTTCGCCAAGAAGCCAACAAAATGACGACTTTTTGACAATAATGTTTCTGTCCTTAAGTTTAATTTGTACAAAAGGAGAATTTCGGTTTATTGCTTAAACTTTTTTAGAATAGTCCTTTAAATGCAGATCGGGTGAAACAAATCCAAGTATTTTGTTCCACTTTTCCTGTTATTCAAGTAACGTCTTTTGACACCCATATCATTTTCATTTTTTTTCTAAAAAATTAGACAGGTCACTGAAATAATGATTCCTTCTTCTCTTTGAACATTTTTATTATCGATAAACCTATTTAATTTAGATGTAGAGGGCAAACAGTTTTTTAGATTAGCTTGTTAGGTCTCATAAAGCAATCTTCCACCAACATAAAAATATATACTGAAAAATTTTTCAGGGCCTCGTCATACCTATTTTTGTTTTTTGGCCCGCTTGTATTTTCCAAGGAAATTTTTAAGTTTAAAAAAAATAAGTCATGTCTTGTTTACCTTCGTCAGAATATTCTAAAATTTTAATAATGCTTTGTGCGAATTCTGAATTTTCTAATATTTTTCCTGTAATTACTAAATATTGAGTTATTAGGGTTTGATTTGCATAAATATTTTCTATAATATTTTTCCATTGCCAATTTCGATTTTTGCTCGGATTTTTGACTGCAACCTGCACTTTTGCTGGAGTCATCAAACTTTGTTTCACATGTTAGTTCAGGAGTTTCAATAACTGACTTGATAATTGACTGTTGGTTGTTTGTTTTCGGTGTCTTCGTTTAATATCTCGTTTAATATACGCTATCTATACGTTTAGTTTGTATTTACTCAGTATTACCCTTGTCTCACCTCTGTATTTCTCCCGTATTACCTCAGTATTTCCTTTGTATTACCTTAGTATTTCCCGTATTACCCCTGTATTGCCTGCATTATAACATATTACCCAGTATTTTCTGTATATTACCCTGTACTACCCCGTATTTCCTTAGCATTACCTTAAGCATGTACACCAAATTACCTCAGCGGTTTACCCCTCGGTATTGCATGAATAATTTTATACAATTTTTATGATTTTCTATTGTCTTCATAAAAATATATAATATATATTATATTTATTACATGTTTTCATAAAAAAATATATTTATTACTGTAATAATATTACATACCATTTCAGGCGCGCGAAACGCACGAATTACAGAACTTTTCATAAAAAAGATAATTATTTATATAATATTTTGGCATCAAAATTGTCAAAAATATTCTTTTTTTATTAGGCTATACAATAAATAAAAAAAAAACGCAAGAAATATTTTATAAAGGTAGAGGTAATTTTAAAATTTGAAAGGTGTGGACGGGACAAAAAAAGATTTATCTTCTCCCATACACTCCTGTCAATTATTAAAATTATTTCTACTTTTATAAAATATTTCTTGCGTTTTTTTATTTAATGTATAGCCTAATAAAAGAAGAATATTTTTGACAATTTTGATGCCAAAATATTATATAATAAATTACCTATCATTTTTTTTTATAAAAACAGTTTTGTGATTTGTCCCGTCCGCATGCTTGAAATGTATTTTATTGTTATTTTAATTTTTAACACTAAAAACTGTCAATGTTTGGGTATTAACAATTGTTAACATTTGATTGATTATACTACTTAATCTAATTATTTTTTATTTATCTTTTAGAATGTCCAAACTAGTGTTTTGTTTCGTCATCTTGGCGGTCGCCTCCGGCGCGCTCGCCTACTCGGCCGGCGCGCCCGAGTCCGTTTGCGACGACATGACCCCCAAGCACCCCGTCGACCCTCAAAAATCCCAGAGCCCCTACAAAGCCACCGTCGGCAAAACCGCAGTGAAACCTGGAGAGACTGTCGACATCAAAATCAGCGGACCGTCGCTCAAGGGCGTCCTGGTGCAGGTCAGGGCGGCCAACAAAGCCGTCGGCTCCTTCGTCATTCCAGACGACGATAGACACTTGAAGGCCATCAACTGCCATGGTAACAAAGCTGTAAGTATAACCATTACTAATGTCCAGTAGAATTAGTCCGATTCCTATGGGGTATTATTGCAATTCTCCTAAAACATAAAATTCCTAAAATTTGGCTTAAATCTTAAAAACTCCTAAAGTTCTCCTAAAATTGCCATCAATCTCCTAAAACTCCTAAAAATAGGCCTGCGTTTAATTAAGGTAGTTCTAGTTTATTAAATTATTTTTAAAATGATATATCACAACCTACATTTTTCTTAAAAAACAACAAAATATACCTAAAAAACAAAATCCATGTAGTAGCTCCTGGACTTCTACAAAATTGACATTTTTAGCCATATTTCGTTTGTTTTCGATAAAAATATACCGTGTTATATAACAAACAAAAGGATTTTTAATTTCCTTTTAAATAATAACTAAAATAGTAAACAATCTAAATAATGTTTTGCTGTATTATGCAAACTTTATATTTTTTCTATTATGAGATTTTTGAGTAACAAGATCCACATAACAATTATTGTTAGTTGGTAATTAAACGGTTAAAATATTTTTTCTCAAAATATAAATATAACATCATTTGACTTTGGCCTAGTTTTTAGCCAAATCTATTGACGCGTTTTTTTAAATAAAATTAAGTGTGGTGAAATTTCTACCTCAAAAATTATTTATATTTCTGTTAAAAAGATTTAGTTATTTTTTTCTTATTTTTAGGTACCTAGTGTAGAGTTTTTTATTTAATTACATAAATTCATTTGCATACTTTATTTCTCCTAAAATTATCCAAAAAACATCCTAAATTCCTAAATAAATTTTGTACTTTAGCTGTGGGAGAGAAAATGTTTACCTCCTTTTTTCTTAAATAAATGATATTACTCGTCAAATATGCAAAATATTCGAAAATATTGAGTATGCACACTATATATACATATACAGTATACCTAGTCCATATTTTACTTCAAAGAAGTTTTGAAAATTAAAAAAAAAACACATTTTGATGCGATCTTGGTAAAAAAGGATCAAGGATCAAGGATATGTAAAACTTGGAGAAAACAAAAAACAAATGAATTTGTTTGTATTCTTTCTAGAATTTTTTTGAAACACATTTTGTTTTTTATTAAAATTTATACTAATATATTGTATGATTTATTTTAGAGCGCTGCTACACATAAAAATTCCACTGACAAAAAAGATTTGTTACTTAAATGGAAAGCTCCATCTGCACCAGGAAAATATACTGTCTAGTAAGTATTATAATTTAATTAAAATTTAAAAAAAATACTGAATAGCATTTATTTTTAAACCATAAATCAGGTTGTACATAATGATGAGCTGTTTTTAAAATAGTATAATAAAAAAATGACAAAGTAATTTTTTTTTATTAGATCAAACATTTTTTAAAATTTATATTTTTTTGTTTGTTTAAAACCAAATAAAAAATTATGTATGTAAGTAGGAAAAACGATTAAAATATATAAACATTTTAATAATATTGAAATTTTCGAAAATTTTAAATATTTTGGAAAATTCTAAAGTTTAAGACATTTCTCCAACATTTTTAAAATGTATGCCACTACGAATTTAAGTGGTAACTTTTCAAATCGCATTATGTCCTTCAAAATACAATTTCAAAAAAAAGACAAAACCTGTTTCTGCCAATTAGAGAAACACGTTTTTGACTTTTTCCCGAAAATTTATTCCACCATTTTTTTTAATTTGCAAATACTGTGCGGATGTGTTCTACCATTTTTAAAATTTATGAATGGAAGAGAAAATTACCTAGAACATTAATTTTAATGTAAAGTTTTTAATTGTCAAATTTTGTTTTACACATCTGCGACGTGACTTACCTCCATGCTCTCCTGATACTGCTAAAGTTTTACCATCAACACGCCAAAAAAATGTATTAATTTTCGTTTTTCTTTTAGTTTGACTGCTGCTCAAGACGGTGGTGTATTCTGGGTGGCCAAACCAGGACAAACTATCAATGTTAATTAAGCAAACTGTCGATATTTTTTTAAACTGTTTTTATTAAATTTTAACTTGTAAATTTTCATTAATAAAGTGATTTTATATTATCACATTGTTTTCATTTAACAATGCTAAAATGCCATGCAAATATAAATTGTTGACTTTTAAAATTCTTTATTTAGTCTTCTCATTATTCAGTTTAAATAGAATTCAATTTTCAAACTTTGTTTTATAATTTTAAAACAATGATTGTAATTTAATTCATTTTGCAATTTTAAAACCAAAAAATCTGCCAATAATCTTAAAAACGGCCAAAACCGTCCAAACAAAGATAAATGACCGCAACTTAAAAATACGACTGCAATAGAAGGGAAACGTATCAATAAGGCCTTTTAAAAAAATAGCACACAAGCAGATACAAAAGTTATAAAATTTTCCATCCAACTTTTGTTAATTGGTACACCAAAAAATTTTAAAATGTACATTTTCATTTATAAAGTGATTTTATATTATCACATCGTTTTCATTTAATAATGCTAAAGGAGGTAAAATAAATTGGTGACTTTTAAAATTGTTTATTTAGTCTTCTCGTTATTCAGTTCAAATATAATTCAATTTTCAAACTTTGTTTTGTACTTTTAAAACAATGATTGTAATTTAATACATTTTGCAGATTTTAAAACCAAAAAAATTGGCAAATTATCTTAAAAACGGCCAAAACCGTCCAAAAATAGATAAATAAACGCAACTTAAAAAATACTACTGCAGGGCGATTCCATGATTACTAACGGGACAAACAAAAACAAGACAATATGTTTTATGGAAATTTTAAAGATGAGTTGTTCATATAATAATAATTTTATAATAGTTATTATTACTTAATTTCATTGCTGAGGACTGGCATAAATTATTAATATAGGAACAACACATCTTCTAAAATGTTCATAAAACATTTTGGTTTTTTTGCTCGTCATGGAATCGCCCTGCAAACTATATCAATAAGGCCTTTTAAAAAAATAGCACACTAGCAAATACAAGTTATAAAATTGTCCATCCAACTTTTGTTAAAAGGTATATTATTGGTACACCAAAAACCCTCACAATAATTGAGACAAATTACATTCCTACTAGGGGTGTCAATCCCGAGCCCATTTTCCAATCCCGGGCCTTTCGGGACCAAAGGTAACTAATCCCGGGATCAGTCCCGAAAAAATATATATCATTAATTTTAAAACCAATTTAAAATAAAACAACAAACAAACTAACGAACGATATCTTTCGGACTTCACACTAGACGGAAGAATGATTTTCAAGAATTCGTAGGCACATTGTACCCACGTTTCATAATATAATTATTATAATTTCATTTCTTTTATCAATCGGGCCTTGGTGAGTTCCAATTGGAGCTGTAACTTACATTGAAATTATCAAGTTTGTGACATTTTTTCAGGTTTGACGTTTGAAATATGTTATATTATAGGTTATGTACATAAATTTATTCTACAGTGACCTGTAATTTTACATTTTCTTTGCTGATTTTATGCTATAGATGAAACCACTCTTGCTATGTAATTTCAATGTATTTTCATTATTGTACGGCGGTGTACAATAATTTGACTTGAACTGAGTAAAAAAATGAAGTGTATATATATATATATATGCTTATGAGTATTGTAATATGAAAAATGTCATAAGCTTAAAAAAAAGTCTATTTTATTCTTTGTAACTTATTACTAAGATCCCGGGATTGGGACTTTTAATCCCGGGATTTTTGGGATCGGATTTTTTACGGGATCCCGGGATTGACACCCCTAATTCCTACTTACTCATTTAACAATGCTAAAGGGGGTAAAATAAAAATAAATTGGTGATTTTTAAAATTGTTTATTTAGTCTTCTCGTTATTCAGTTTAAATAGAATTCAATTTTCAAACTTTGTTTTGTACTTTTAAAACAATGATTGTAATTTAATACATTTTGCAGATTTTAAAACCAAAAAAGTCGGCTAATTATCTTAAAAACGGTCAAAACCGTCCAAACAAAGATAAATGACCGCAACTTAAAAAATACGACTGCAATAAAAGGGAAACTATATCAATAAGGCCTTTTAAAAAAATAGCACACAAGCAAATACAAAAGTTATAAAATTGTCCGTCCAACTTTTGTTAAAAGGTCTATTATTGGTACACCAAAAACCCTTGCAATAATCGCGACAAATTACATTCCTACTTATCCTACCGGTAGTCTCCAACCAACCGAAAAACAACATTAACCGTTATCGTTCGTAGAAACACAATTTTATACGTGCGAACGCCTCCAAATCAGCAGAACTTCCACCTGTTGCCGCACTCGTTGCACAGCACAAAAGTGGTCATGGGTTCGTCCGAAGACCTCGTCTGCAGCTGGTTGTACGTGCAGTTGCGCTTCTTGCACTTGCCGCACTTCAGCATTTCCGTCTTGGTGCCCTGCGCGGTCGCCAGCTGCGCGTCGTTGATCGCCTCCTTGGTGAACTTCTCCCTCAGCAGCTTCACCTCGTCGTTGGCCATCTCTTCGGCCGTCATCACCGCCAGCCGGGCGGCGGAGATGGCGCCGATGCGGAAGTTCGTTCGCAGAGTCGGGTTCTTCACGTCCTTCAGGTTCGAGATCCTGGAGCGCACGCGGTTCTTGTAGCGCATGTCGGTGTTTTTGAATTCGCAGAAGATCGCCTCTTCCAATTCTTCCGCTAGCTCTTCAGCTGACGCACAACCTAAGAATATCACCAATTCGTTAAAAATTTGGTCAGTTTAAGGGAGCCAAAAAAGCATGTTTTCTCAATTTTTTAGTATAGGGTCATTCCATGACAAACGATACTAAGGGTGAAAAAATAAATATGTTCTTTTCACATTAAATCTAATGAATTTTGAAAAAAAAAACATTCCAAATTATAATGTGAGACAAAAAAAACTAGAATAAACGCTTAATTTTTAAGTTAATTACTCTTCAAAATCTGTACTCAAGTGAACTGGCTGAATGACCATTGTGCCTTTAAAACTATAGGCATTTTTTCGCGTAAATAGTATGAAATACTATGGTTATTAAACTTAACCTTGCACGGTGTGGTTTAAAAAAGTTAGATGTAAAGTTCGAGAACCCCAAATTTATAAACGGGGAATGATTCTACATGGTTTTAATGAATAATTAATGAAAAAATTAAAATATTTCCCTGAGCGCATTTTTTTTTTCACCTTATTAAATATAAGAACATTATTTAAGAGGTTAGATACGCTAACTACGTCAAAAAAAGAGCAATGTTTACGTTTTTTTTCAAAGACTGGTTTATTTATTTTGAAATAAATTATTTTGACAGTTATTTTGACTTATTTCAAAAAGTTAGGTAATCCCAGGCGCCTGTTTTCTCTTGATTTTAGTGTGTCTTTAGACTCAGTACTATTAACATCAAAAGCGAGCTATTTATTAAAATTTAATAATATTTAAAAAATGAAACCAATAAATTTCATAAGCAACCACACAGTGAGAGTCTTTTAAAATTATGTCTATTATCTAAAACGAAGAAGAAAGTTCTTTTCAAAATAACGGATACCTTAGAAAAATTGATACTTTTGATATAATATATATATTATGTTATATTTAATTCAGTTTAGACCTTTTTTGAAATAAAATATTTTTTTATAAAAAAAGGAAACCGATTTTATTTTATAAAAATAAACAATTTTGTGTTTAAACTATATCTAAGTTAGATATACACATTATAACTAATTAAAGGTGTCTACTATTGTATTCACATACAGCTTTAAGTAATTTTTCTGCATATTGAGGATGCGATTTTTTTACTTTGTATTTATTCCATATTTTATTAAAGTCTGAGTGAGATGATTCCACCGCTTGTTCTGAATAAAACCCTAACCTTTTGTCGTTTTGTTTATAAAAATCTTCCATCTGGAAAAATACTGTGTGAACCTTTAGCGTTACGTTTAGGTTTAAACTCATATAACTTTCTCTTAATATCGCAATCTTCTCAAGATTATAATTTGATTGAGAAACAGGAATCGTTAACGTTAACGTTTCACGTAGAATGTCAACATTGTTCAATAATATTTTACTCGAATTTCCAACAAAACCTGCATTTCCGTAAAGTATTTCTCGACTTACATTACACTTTTTGGCCCACAGCTGTGGGCCAAAAAGTGTAATGTAAGTCGAGAAATACTTTACGGAAATGCAGGTTTTGTTGGAAATTCGAGTAAAATATTACAGGTTACAAATATTTTCAAACTTCTTATGCATATTATCAAATATTGTATTAACAAATGTAACTCGGGCGGTGGAATTAAATCGATGATTTTTTTTCTTTATTTGATGAAATTAAAGGTAAATTTAAACAATTTTTAAAGTCTTTACAATTCTGTTTCTCTCCTCCACTTTTTTTCCAAGCTTCAAAATTTTAAATACAATTCCCTATACCTAGTTCTTAAAGTACCCAAAACGTTCAAGTTATTTTTGTGTGCGGTACACCAAACACATGGATACATGCTGCTGTGAGACATTAGACCAATCAATATATTTAATAATTTCAAATCATTATGTACTTTGAATAATCTGGCATTACAATAGTATATGCATTACAAGATTTTTCTTTTATATAGATATAGAAAGCTATAGCTTTCTTTTACAATTTGCACACAGTGCCTTTGGTAACCGTTCATCATTACTATTGTATGTAATATATTTATTTATTACTTTTTCTAAAGAATCGGTTATTTCGAAAAGAACTTTTTTCTTCGTTTTACAAAATAAACATAACTTTATACGACACTCACTATAGTGAGTGTCGTATAAAGTTATGTTTATTTTGTAAAACGAAGAAAAAAGTTCACATATATGTGAAAGCACTTGCTTACGAGTTAAATTTATTGGTTTCATTATTTAAATTTTATTAAACTTTAATAAATAACTAACTTTTGACGTCTCAAAACACACTTAAGTCGAGAGAAAACAGGCGCCTGTGATTATTGTAACTTTTTGAAATACGTCAAAACAGCTGTCAAATATTTATTTCAAAATGAATAAACCAGTCTTTGAAACAAAAAACGTAAAAATTGCTCTTTTGGCGTAGTGAGTGTATCTAACCCCATAAATAATGTTCTTATATTTAATAAGGCGAAACAAAAAATGCGCTCAGGGAAGTATTTTAATTTTTTCATTAATTATTTATTGAAACGATGTAGAATCATTCCCTGTTTATAACTTTGGGGTTCTCGAACTTTACATCTAACTTTTTTAAACCACACCGTGCTTGGTTAATAGTTAATGTATTTTCGCGTTTAGAGTGCGTTCCAAAATCTTAACTATGACATCACATTTACTAGACCATAAAACTACCTCGGCAAGCTGGTTATTCAATCTGGTTAATGGTCCATCTCTTTCTAATGTGTATATTTCTTTATTTTAATCTGTCAAAAATGTGGTTTTAATGTCAAAAAATATTTAAACAGGTAACCACACTTTTTTATATTAGGCGTGATTGGCTACAAGTGTTACGTCATGGATTTTAATCAGGTGGAAATTCTAGGTTATATAGTTTATAAACATCAAAAGTTACATTTGAAATGACAATCAATAACCGGTGGTTAAACAAATTAACCGTGACGTCATAACTTTTTTAACTATAGTATTTCGGTAATTACGCGACAAAACGCCACGAAATACTATAGTTAAAAAAGTTATGACGTCACGGTTAATTCGTTTAAGGCGAAATACGAAAAAAAAACTGTCAATCTGTCAACCGTTTTGCCACCTTGTCATTTGAGATTATTTATCGCACAGTTCATTTTTTGTTGTATTTGGACTCGTGTTTTTTTATTAAGTTGTTAGCTTATGCCAGTTTGATTTAGTATTTTTAGAATTTAAAAAATGGTACTTCTGTTGAATACCTCAATTAAATACTCCGACAGTAATATTTATTATTGATAACACAGCCACACAAAAAAACAAAAGTAGGTACCCGGATCTGGATATGTGACATCCGATGTCAAAATTCGCCCTGCACGTCTGAGTTTTAACCTAACCTCTCAAAAACTGAAAAAAAAATGTTTTTTAACGTGCCAAATCCAAATTTGTTGTCAAAAATAATCTCACACGTCGTCCTTGAACCTTAACCTAGGACTCTTCATTTCAGAGTTCACGATTTTTCTCGAGTTGTTTTGGAATCTACATCGACATTATGTCAAAATCACTTTTTTATTTTTCAGCCTTATTCTTTTGCTCTATACCGTGTTCTTTTTTCTTCGAAAGATCTGTGTTAGGGGTTACGCCTTATTATTGGATTGCGTCACAGTCCCGAAAAAATTGATAATCATCACGTTATAAGTGTTTTCTTGAGACTAATTTTATATGATTTTCTTGATTAAAAACTGTGACACCCAAAGCGTTTCGGGTGTTACAACTTTGTTCATAATATGTCGATATATGTGTGACACATTGTGTGTGTATCGCTTGAAGAATGCAATAAGTATTATTTTTATGGCTCTTTCGACGGTCCACTAGCGCCGCCATCGCCGATGGTGTGGTCGAACTTCTACCGAAATGGCAACGGACCTACCAAAATACCGAATACTTAGATTTTCGTCAATAATTATGTTTCTACCATTTTTTTTACCAATTTTTGGCAATAATAACGATTTTACCCTTTTGCCGATTTATCAATCGCACCCGAAGCTGCTTAAGTTATATTTAAGGAGAATTAATTATATTTATATTTATTTGTTACTAACTTATTTTGTAGTACCTAGAACCCACTTGGCCCACGCCACGCTACGCCATGCTACTCGACGTCGACTGACGTGGGTTCACGTTTTCGAGTCACCGTACACACTAGTAATACGCTACGCTTATGACAAACATAAAATAAAATTGCTTTTTGAAATTATGAAATAATAATAATAAAATATTTATAAACACTGCGCGTCAAAATTAACGCATAATAAGTAAAAAAAACTTATATCTCAGTTTACGTGTTCGAGGGTTTTTCGAGAAAATATTTTTAAAGTACTTTTATTTAATAATAAAAAACGTTTGAAAAATAACTTTTAGGAAAATTTTTTTTTTAAGTAAATAAAAAATAAGCTGTTAAAGACCGTATTTTTGTTAGTATACCCTGAAAATTTTGTACAAATCAAACGAAGAGTAACGAAGATACAGTGCTTCAAAGTCGGTAAAAATGACCCCTTTTTGATTATTTTGCTGAAAAGTGGTCATATTTGACGACTTTAAAGCACTGTATTTTCGTTACTGTTTGATTTGTACAACATTTTCAGGGTATACTTACAAAAATACGGTATTTTACAGCATATTTTTTATTTACTTACAAAAATTCCCTATAAAAGTTTTTTTTAGCGTTTTTTTATTATTAAATAAAAGGGCTTTAAGGATATTTTCTCGAAAAACCCTTGAACACGTAAAATGAGATATAAGTTAAAGTATTTTTATCCAAAATTTTATAAAGATTGGTAAAGGCGTTTTAGAGTTAAATTTTTTTTACTTATTATGCGTTAATTTTGACGGGCAGTGTACGTTTTGGTAAAGAAAATCGAGTGTGAAAGTAGTTCTTCATCTGATGAATGGGAATGGGAACTAGAGGAGTGTGCTGTTGCTATTATTATAAATAAAAAACAAAATTTCTTTAATGTTGATTGTACAGGAACTCGTATGAACGCACTTTTTCAATAATTTGTTCATCCATGTTTGAAA